GTCCTGTGTGCCGTCGAGCTCCCGGTCAGCGCCTGTGTGGGGCCTGCTTGGGGCTGCTGGCTCAGCAGGTCACGGCTTCGGTGCTCGGGTCAGTGGAGCTGCTTCAGCCAGCCGAGAAATTTCTGCCCCGTGCAGATTGCTATCGGCTAATCTCTGGTGTCTGGGTGCTTTTGGAGGTATTTAAGTAGGAAAAAGACAGGCTCAAACTGGCGAGCCCGCTGACACCACACACAAAGGCCGTGCAGTCGGGCCCTCTGGTTCTGAGGAGTAGACACACCACAGCGATCCTGCGGCACCCATGCTCCGGGGACGACCGAGGGCTGGCTCAGCAGGCGCGCCCTGCCCTGCCCTGCCCTGCCCATGTCCGCACGGCTGCCCGCTGAGATAAGGGGGGAGGTCGCGGCCCACGCAGCGGGCGGCCGTTTGTCACCAGGCCCCAGCGTGGGCAGCGCCCCGCCTCGGACGAGCTTCCCTGCCTTGCCTGGTGAGGGTGCGAGCAGAGCCCCGCAGAAGCCGGGCGCCGGGTCAGCCCCGTGACCGCAGACGACAGAGGCGCCGGTGGCTGGCAATCAGGTCGGGACACGCTGTCCGAGTCGCACCGGGCCGTGACGGCAGTGCCGAGCCACGCTGGCCCCGGGGGGAGCGGGCCCCGTCTGGTTGTAGGCGCCCTCAGCCCTTGTCCCTGTGACCCCTCTGGTAGGGGACTCCGGGAGACAGCCCGCTCACTGCAGCATTGTTCACGGAGCCCATGGGACAGCCGCCTGTGCCCAGCAGCCCGGTGCGACTCGGTGGCACCGAGTCACAGGGAGCACGTGCTTATGAAACGAGGGGGGACCCGCTCTGGTGTCGAGACCCCCGACCTCTCAGCCTTGTAAACATTTTACATACAAACAACATTAAACCAGTAAGACAACAAGGCCCCAAAACACAGTGAAACAAACTCGTTCCAGGTACCTATTGCCATACAACAGGTCACCCCAAAACTTAGTGGCCGAAAGCAGCCACCACCTTACTATCCTCCCTGGTGCCTCTCGGTCGGCCGGGTGCCTTTTGGGATGTAACCTCGGAGGTCACACAGCGTGACTGCCGCCATCCTCCCGGCGTGCAGGCGGTCCCCAGGATGCGGTGGCGAGGTTCCAGAACAGGGCGAGGGCCTGGCAACATCATGGCGGCCTCTGCTGGGGCAGGGACTCACTGCTTTGCTCTGCGTCTGCCACGGGTTTACTCTAAGGCCAAAGAGTGCAGGGAAGCCAGGGTTCACTCAAGTGTTCGGTCGCTGGCAATGATGCTGGCATTGTTGTGAAATTATCGTATCGGGGGACAAAGCAAATACCGTATCGACAGCAGCAACCCAGACGTTAACGTAAGAGTTAAAATACAAGTGGAAAAGCGAAGGAGTTAAGGAAAACCACAATACTCCCAAATAGGAGTTAGAAACAACAACATGTACCGACAGTCCACTTTCAAACAGTCGGGGCTTCCTGGCTGTGTAGACGGAGGGCAAACCCGGCTGCTGGGGGTCCCCGGAGAGCCAGACTCGGGGCTCAGTGCCACCCCTCTCCCTGGAGAAGGGGGGCCCGCTCCAGGTCTAGAGCAGAAGTACCAGGACACCCCGAGCCATCTGTCCCCAAAGGGAAGCCCTCAAGGACCAAGGGGGTCAGGTCAGAAGGGGGACAAATCAGAAGGGCATCGTGCCGGGTGCAAATACTGCATGATTCCACGTTGGTGACGTTCCTGATGTGCTAGACCTGTAGGAACAGAGCATGGGGGTGTGTGTGTGCTTGTGGGGGGCTCTGGGCCGCGGCGGCTCTGTGCTCTGGCCGGCATGACGGCACCGTGGGGGGACCTTCCGCAAGGGCACACGGGGCCCCACTGGTCCTCAGCATCTTGGGAATCTCTCCTGCAACATAAAACCGCCTCGGGAGCTTCCACCGGCCGAGTCAGGGACAACTTGAGTCTTGAAAGCAAAGATTAATTGAAATCCGGGCCCGTATACTTATTCTCAGAAGCAAAGGAAGCCAAGAAATAATAGTCTGCCCCCCCTGGACATGGAGTTTGCGTCCACTTCTTACTGGGCGGGCTTAGTTACTTCTCTGCGGCAGAATTGGGGCCGCCTCCGCAGGGCGTATGGGAACCGTACTCGGGCCCCCAGCAGCCCCGGCGGAAAGCACCAGCTAACAGAAGTGCCGGGACGCTACGCACAGAAAGCCCCCGTTCGCCAGCCCGAGTGCAGCACCTGATCCAGGACAGGCCTGCGGCTGCCAACGACCCCCGGTGACAGCAGGCGCCAAGGTGTCACCTTGCAGGTGGCTCATAGGTCATGGGGGCCAGGGGGGATGTGCGTGTCACCTTACAGTGCCAGACTCTGCGGGCCCTCCTCCTGCCCCGGCCCTGGGTCTCAGCATCGCCCAGAAGGGGACAAGCACAGGATCTGGATCTGGGCAGGGGTGATGCCAGAGGAGCGAGGCGGTGCGTCTCACTTCCCGTTCATGGGCATCACGGCAAAGGTGCAGGCAGGGGTGCCGCTGGGGAGCAACCGGACTCTGCAGGACGCCAGGCTGCTGGGCCGTCCAGGGGCCCCGGTGCTGGGGGGGCGGGCCGGGAGGAGGAGGCCGACCAGAATGGCCGAGACGCAGGATGGGGAGCCTTGTTGGGTTTGAGCACACCGGCCCGGAGACGGCCTGAGCGGTGGCCTCTGTCCCGACATCATCCTCTCCGCTTTTCTGCATGAAACTTTTCATGACCAAATGTCCTTTAAAGCACGCCGCCAGGAAATCCTCTCGTCTTCTGGGAAGGACGCCAGCCCTGCTGTGCTGCCTCAGGAACAGGTGAGCGGGAGGTTGGCCTACGCCCTGGCCGCTCGGAGGGAGAGCCAGGGGGCCTGGAGTGGGGGCAGTGGATTGAGGGGCCTCCGTCAGAGTCACAGCCCCCCCGCCCCCGGCAGGTCCCCTCGGGTAGGCTGATGAGCAATGTCCTCAGTGCCCCACAAGCTGCGGGAGAACCTTCTGGAACAAGATGGGGTGGAAATTTTTTTTGGAAGTATAATACTAATTCACCTGTGACAAGTACGTGCAAGAAACCTCTTTCCAGGCTTTGGGAGCCAGACTTGTCTTCCTGATGCTCCCCAAAGGGAAATATTTGGTGTTTTCAGTGTAAAAATACCAGAGATTGGCTTACAAATAAAACCATGCAGAAAACTCCCAGGATAGAGACTGAGCAGTCCCCTAAGGCTGTCTCAGAGCCTGTAAGCTTTGGGGACAGTGTCCCGGACTCCTTCCGAGGCTTACAGGTACGCTCCGCACAGCGCACCCCTCTGCAGGGAAGGGACTGCGCAGGTCGTCTGAAATCCACACCCTAGGAGAGCCTTCCGTCCCTGGTGTCTCCACGTGTTCCTTGCATTGCAAAGTAGTCTGGCTACCACCGCCCTCTGGGCGGACGTGGGGGAGCCCCTGAGGCCCGGTGCTCCCTCCCTTCTGCCAGCTCCAGGGGTTATTCAGCGAGTGCAGCGCCCCCATTCATAGGACAGACTTAGGAAAGCCTCAGGTAGCAGGGACTAAAGAACGGGCCCAGGCTCCAGCTCTAAGAACCCCACCCACCCTTGTCCTCAGGCACTTAGTCCCCTCCCTTGGCCAGGGTGGGTGGGGTCATCGGAACAGTCCACACCCGCATCAGGCTGTTCTGTTCGCCAGTGTTGTTCTAACTCTCCACCAAACCTGTGAAATGGGGACTACAAGTGCCCATGATTGACAGATGGAGAAACTGAGCCACAGGCTGTCAGGGACACCCAGCTAGATTTGGGAAGGTCAGGGATTTGGCCCCAGGGGTCCGACCCAGGAACACCTGCCCTTTTACTCCTGCTCTCCACTGCACAGCCGGCTGGCCAGGATGACTAATGCGGCACACCTCACTGTGTGCTGAGCCAGATGGCAGCCCCCTAAGAGCTTCAGCCCCAGCTCCTGGTTACCTGTGCACTTGACACGTGGAGAAAGATTCTCTGCACGTGTGATCGAGTTAAAAGGAGGCCACTACGGTAGTGCTAATGTAGTGACCACAGGAGAGGCCAAGGGAAGATGGAGACAAAGAGTGGGGGCGGGGTGGTGGTGGGGAACGTGGCTGCAGCCCAAGACGGCCTGGGGCCCCGAAACTGGGAGAGGCAAGGAAGGACCCTCCCCTGGAGTCTTCAGAGGCGCCCTGCCCTGTGGCACCTGGATTTCTGCCTTCTGGCCTCCAGAACCACGAGAACATAATTTCTGTTGTGTTTTCTAAGCACCTCGGTTGGCGGCACTTGGCGGTGTGGCAGCCACAGGAAAATAAAACCGCATTCTCCACGTGTTACAAACAAAGGCTTTGGGCACCCCGGCCCTCCTTCCCGGCAACTCAGTTGGAGTGACCCCAGGTTCACAGTGCGCCACCACCGCCTGCCCGTGGGGACTGCTGACCTGGGCACCATTTCTGAAAAGACAGACAGAAATCACGAAACACCCTCCAACTGCAGATGCGGCCCAGAAATGAAGACCCTCAGGGAACCCGGCCCCGGGGCGCTTGGCTTTCCAACGCAACTGTCCCCTTGCTCCAGCTAACTCAGCGCTTTTCCGCAAGCGGTGGTGTGATGAGGCTGCGGTTGGTACCCCAGCCCGGCGGGGCACCACGGGTGCGGCGGGGGAGGGGGTCTGCCGAGCCCGAGCCAGGCTGCGCGCGCGCGTTACTGCAGGTGGCACCGAGCTGGAGGAGCACCGCGGGCTCGGGACGGGGGTCAGAGGGCGGGCGGCGGGCGGCGGCACGTGCCCTCCACGTGTCCCCCGCGCGCCCCGGCCCCTTGAAGGGGCGGAAGGAAGGCGGGCGCGCGCTGCCGCAGACGTCACACGCCCGTATTTGCATACGGCTCGAGGGTGGGAGCGCGGCGCAGCGTGACGCCCCCACCATCGCGGCCTCTGACTGGTCGTCGCCGGCGGCGCCGGAGCGTATTTGGCTTGCGCCGAGGCCGCCCAACCACAGCCCGTCTTGCTTGCGGGGGGCGGGGCCAGGGGCCTCGGCCAATGGAAGGCGCTGTTGTTGGCGGCCACGGCGGCGCAGCCCCTGGAGCTAGCGAGGCCACCGCCGCCGCCGCCGCCGCAGCCGCAGGAGGCGTGAGGAGTGGACGCGGGGCGCTTGGCCGGGTAACGGCGCGCTGGGGCGGCGGCGAGGGGCCGGAGCCGGGGCAGCGGGGGCCCAGGGCGGCGGGCGAGAGGCCCGGGGCCGCCGTGGGAGCAGGCCTCGGCGGCAGGGGCGGGGCGGCAGCCGGGCCGGCGGGGAGGCCGGCGGGGAGGCCGGGCGGCGGCGGGAGGGCGGCCGTGGCTGGCCCGCCGCCCCGCCCGCCTCCCCGGCGCGGCCCTGAAGGTCAGCGGGCGCTTTGTTTCGCGGGGCGGTCTGCCCGGCTGGCCGTGACCCCGACGGGAGCGGCGGCCGCGGGCCCCTTTGTTTTCGGGGCGCGGGTCGTGCCTGCGGGGAAGCCGCCCTTCGGGGCCGGGACGGGGATGGAGCCGGCAGAGTTCCGTGTGGTCGTTGAGCTCAGAGGCGGCGGCGCGTTTTCACCGGACTGCCGAGCCGCCGCCCGCCCGGGGCTCGCTTTCCTGGCGCGCCGGCGCCTGCCCGCGGAGGGCCGTGTGGTCGCGATAAGGCCCGCCCGTCCGCGCCCGCGCGCCGCCTGCCCGGGCTGGGGGAGGGTGGCGTCCCCGGGACGTGCTGCTGCTCCGAGAGCCGGGGGCCGCGGGTCCCGCGCCGCCTCCCCGCAGTGCCGGCTGTGCGGCGGAAGGACGGACGCGGGCCGGGGCTGCCCCGCGGGGGCGCGGCGCGCCTCTCCGCACGTGCTCCCTGGCTTCGAAATGACCCGCCAGCTGGAGTCCTCCCGGCCCCCCCACTGCTCGGGAGGCCCGGGGCGCGGGCCGGCGCATGACGGCTGCCCGTCCGAGGCGGTCAGCTCCCCCGAAGGCGCAGGCGGCTCGGGCCTGACCCGGCGTCCCTGCTTCTGCGGAGCCTAGCTTGGGTCCCGCCCGGGGGGTTGAGCCCGGCGGTCGCTTCCCGCTCAGACTTGCGCCATCCTCACCGATCGCTAACTGCTTCCCCAGGTGGGGTCTGGAAATTGTTTCAGCCTGCGATGAGCGATGGCTGGTGCGGGAATAACCTGCAGATGTCCAGTGAGCTTGAGCGAAAGCCGGCTGGCGGCAGGAGGGGGACCCAGTCCAGAGATGAAGCGGGACGTGTGCCAGTGCCAGGGAAGAGAAATCCGGGCACGCGAAGTTCCTCCGTTTACTAGCTGCTTGCTCACTTGTTTCGGGATACAACGACCCTAGTGCGAGATTTCAGAGGATCAGTGGAAGATAAGACCTTTTGGTCAACAGAAACACGGTCGGCAGAGTTTAATTTCTCACAACATCGTGGTGACAGAAGGGACTCATTTTGTAGATAAAGGAGGCAGATTGGCAGATTACTTAGGAACATTTTATTTATTTTTAAGGTTTTATTTATTTGTCAGAGAGCACAAGCAGGGGGAGCGGCAGGCAGAGGGAGAAGCAGGCTCCCCGCTGATCCCAGAGGGATCCCTGGGATCATGAGCTGAGCCCAAGGCAGCGGCGTAACCGACTGAGCCACACAGGCGTCCCACTTAGGGGACATTTTAACTAGAATTTTAAGGCTGCTGCTTCTGGTATGATGAAAATAATTGTTTTCGAAATAGTTATTTATATAAAACAGTAGTTATTCCAACAGCATAGCGCTGTCCGAAATACCTGTCGTTACACATATATTTGCAGTCTTTTTTCCTGGTTTACCAGTGATACTGCGGTTATTTGTACTTCTGTGTCATAAAATAACATCTAAATGCATTCCTGAATTTTGCATTATTTTTCAAAACGATTATGGAACAGTGATTGGAGAGATTGGATTCTTTACTTTAGCTAATTTAATCATTAAATTAGTTCAGTAGACTGAATCCTGAAAAGTTTCGTTCTGCTTTAGGATTATTGTCCTCTAAATATGTACAGACGTTTTTTTAGTTGTGTGGATCGGCCGTGTGGATTACCAGACTCTTCTGGTGTTTTGAGTGTAGAGATTTTTATTTTATTTTATTTTATTTTATTTTATTTTATTTTACTTTATTTATTTATTTGACAGCGAGAGAGGTAACACAAGCAGGGGGAGTGGGAGAGGGAGAAGCAGGCTTCGCCGCGGAGCAGGGAGCCCGATGCGGGGCTCGATCCCAGGACCCTGGGATCATGACCTGAGCCGAAGCAGACGCTTAACGACTGAGCCACCCAGGCGCCCCGAGTGTAGAGATTTTTATCTGTATGAGGTAGTTCATAATTCTTTAGAGATGAAGTACACAGAATTGGGGTGTGTTTGTCATTACAGTGTGTGAATTTGTATCTGAATCTCTAATGACAGTGTTTCGGTTAGCCTGTCAGGGTTTTAGCAGCCCCTTGGTGCTGGGAGCGTATCGGTTTCCTGTGTCTGCAGTGCTGACCAGCCAGTGTTATGATTGACGTCCTCAACGTTTATCTTTTCTTGAGTGGTTGATGGTAAGTCTTTTAGTATTAGGCGGAGGTGACCGCAAATGGGAATGTATAAATGGCATAATAGAGTGTAGAATTACTTATCTTTAGAGTTTTTTTCTTGCTTTCTCTTTGTTGGCCACAGTTTTAAAATGTTTTAAAACTGTTTTCAGAAGCTTATTTTGTATTGCCAGAAATTTTGCCAGAGAATCTAAATTTGTTTGGTTTGTTTTGGAACAATAGTATGTAGTATCTGTGGGCAGGAGGGTGATGTAAATTCCCAAAGGCCTACCGCCACCAGCTATGTGAAATAGGCAGAACCCCATATTGCTGGCATCCAGCACTGGCCCTGACGGCCGGGTGTGAATGATGAGGCAGCAGTGAGGAGTTTGTGGGGGGTTTGGTCTGAAATTGCTACCTCAGAGGTGCTTACTTGAAGTGGAAATGTGTTTAGGCATCCACGGTGAAAGGGTGGTGATTACCTAGCCTGACCATTCTGCCACTGGGAGGTTTTACAAGTGGCTAGAGCAGGGTCTTCACAGGAAGTCGCTGTCATCTGGCCTTCCCTTACTTTGTGTGACCTCTCCTCCTTTAGCAAGTACTTGTGTCCCCAAACTGCAGGTGGGGAATTTGTCCTTATCCCGTGGGAGACCCTTATCAATACGCAGTGAAGAATTTTGTGTTCGACTGCTAGGAAATTTTTAAGAAGTAGATTGTAGTAGTAGATGACATAGATTTGTTTTCATTTGACAGCCATTGGTTTTCTACCCTGTCCTCTTCAGAGAAGGCAGGGCTGCTTTCCTTTGCCATTTAATTTAATTTAATTTTTTAAAAAGATTTTATTTATTTGTGAGAGAGAGCATGAGACGGGGGAGGGTCAGAGGGAGAAACAGACTCCCCGCTGAGCAGGGAGCCCAATGCGGGACTCGATCCAGGGAGTCCAGGATCATGACCTGAGCCGAAGGCAGTTAGTTGTTTAACCAACTGAGTCACCTAGGTGCCCCTGCCATTTAATTTTAAATTTTGTGAGTAGTTATTAGCAGGAGAGGCAGTGTGTTTTTGTAGTAAGGAAACTATAAGAGAGCACTTTGTGACTTACATTTCTTGATCTTGACCACTCACTGTGTCGCCTTAAATTTCCTCTTAGAAGTATACTCTGCCAGGGCGCCTGGGTGGCTCAGTTGGTTAAGCGACTGCCTTCGGCTCAGGTCATGATCCTGGAGTCCTGGGATCGAGTCCCGCATCGGGCTCCCTGCTCAGCAGGGAGTCTGCTTCTCCCTCTGACCCTCCCCCTTCTCATGTGCTCTCTCTCTCTCTCATTCTCTCTCTCAAATAAATAAATAAAATCTTTAAAAAAAAAAAAAAAAAAAGAAGTATACTCTGCCAGCTGTTGAAACTAAATGTGCTTCCAGTCTGGGTTCATGACTACTGTGCATTTTAATATTATCCAAAAGACTGTTTCAAACAAGAGGAGATGATTTCCATCAGTTTTGTGGTAGAGAGATCGACTGTACACCTCAAACATTTACGTACAAAGGTTGTAAGAATGCAGTTGTAAGTATTACACTTTAAAATATTGCGTACATGTAGGAAAATAGTTTTCAGTGCCTTGTATCTATTCATTCATTCCTTCATGAGCCTCTCTGTGCTCGGCATAGTTCTAGGTACTGGGGTATCACTCTGAACAAAACAAAGGGCCTTGCCTTCATATATTTTCATAGTGGGAGACAGATAAACAAGTTGGGTGGTGGTAGGTGCTTTTGAGAAGAAAAGTAGAGGAGTAGGGACTTGGGTGGTTGTGATTTTTTTTTTTTTAAGATTTTATTTAGAAAGAGAGAGCAGGGGGCAGGGGCAGAGGGAGAGAGAGAGAATCTTAAGCAGACTCCAAGCTGAGTGTGGAGCCCAATACGGGGCTCGATCTCAGGACGCTGAGATCATGACCTGAGCCGAAGGCAGACCCTTAACCGACTGAGCCACCCAGGCACCCCAGTTGTGATTTTTAAATAAGGTGAAGAGGGAAAACCTTACAGAGTGACAAGACTTTTAAATACTGGAGTTAGGGAAATTTTGAAATGTTTGCCTCATTTAGTCATATACATCAATGCATTGCAGAGGAGAGAGAGTGGAAAGGAAATTGGAGATGTAGCAATGAAGAGTCACTTTGCCCTGAGTAAAAATAAGAGTGTTTGGTTAAGGAAAGGAAATACATTTTTTATTTTCTTCCGGGAAACTGAGGGCTTCGTCTCTTGCAAGTTTCTGAAGAGATGGTCCACTGTTGCCTGGTAGCAGTTAGATCATGTAAGCAGGCTTGACTTGCTCTGTGTGTTCACAAACTCCGTGGGAGAGCCTAAGGTGTGTGTGGAGTCCCTGATGCCATGTTGTGCGCAGGCAGCGCAGGGGCGGGCTGTGACCCAACAGCAGTGAGTGAGGAAAGCAGAGGCTGCCTGGCGCTGGGTCCTGCCAAGTCCTGTGCTGGCTCCAGGGGTTGCTGCGTTGAGCAAGTAGAGAGCTCCCTGCCCTCATGGAACTTGTTCTTCAGTGGGAAACTTGCATTGTTTACCCATCCTTTTTTTTTTTTTTTAAACACGATAATAGAAAGTTTAAAACATGCAAAAGTAACGATCACCTTTATCTAACACCTACATGTAGTAATGAACTAATCGCCAATTAGTGCATCTGTAAACATATACGTGTGATTTTTTTTTTTTTTTAATTTATTTGAGAGAGAGCGTGCCCATGTGAATGGGGGGCGGGCAGAGAGAGAGAGAGAATCTTCAGACTGCCTCCTGACGTGCACTCCATCCACTGCCCGAGAGATCATGACCTGAGCCAAAACCAAGAGTCGGACACTCAGCCAACAGCCACCCAGGCACCCCTACATATGATTTTTTAATTAAAAAATTTTATAAATGTCCAAAGAGAAAGGAAAAACATATGTATTAGATTATCAGTTACCATATATGATCGAAATTAGTTTGAACCCAACTTCAAGACTATCTTTAGGAGCTTAGGACCTGCGCAGTCTTTGCTAAGAGTACAAGCATAGTTAACAAGGACACTTTACATTAGTTTAGAAACTTACATAAGTTATTTGGTTGTTTACATTAGACATGTTTTTGCTTGCTTACTTGCATATTGGATCCAACACAATTACCCTCTAATGCTAAGGAACATAATGATAGGCTAGATAAAAAAATCCACCCGTCCGGGCAATATAAATGAGATCTGGACTGTCCCAGGGCTTCATATATTGGCCAGGTTTTGTGAGTGGAAACATGGGGATTTCTTGCAGGGGGTATCCTGATTCCTTCTTAGACTAGATGGTTCTTTTCTCCTTTCTGATGTGGTCTTAAGCTAAAACAGGATCCGGTACTCCTGGAGGACTTGGACCTGTATGCCAGGGCTGATCAGACTCCATCTTAGGTTCATAGGGTAGGATCACCATCCCTTAGACTTTTATGTGAACCATGTCATTAACACCACCCTCACTGAATAAAAATGATAGACTGTAATGGAATTCTGAAGTCTTACAGAGGCACTGGGTTGCATTTAACTTAATTTTAGCTATTCAGTTATTTCATGGGAAGATATTGAGGACCTTTGACTAAAGGTAGATAACGTATGAAAATTTTGGTTATGTGAAGAATGACCACATTCCCCAGCTTACTCCTACGTAGTCTCTTAGAAATGGCCCAGTTTGAAACTGTATGCTTACTCTAGCTATAGACTAAGTGTTGTTGTTGTTGTTGTTGTTGTGTGTGTGTGTGTGTGTTTTAAGTAGGCTCCACACCCAGCATGGAGCTCAACCCAGGGCTTGAACTCTTGACCCTGAGATCATGACCTGAGCTGAGATCAGAAGTTGGATGCTTAACTGACTGAGCCACCCAGGCGCTCCTATAGAATGTTTTTTAAATTAGGAATTTAGTTATAGTGGATAATTTGCCACAAAAACTAAAAATTTTTCCCCATGAAAACAATTTTTTTGTTTGGGTTAAAAATCCATAAGTAGGGGCGCCTGGGTGGCTCAGTTGGTTGGGCGACTGCCTTCGGCTCAGGTCATGATCCTGGAGTCCCTGGATCGAGTCCCGCATCGGGCTCCCTGCTCAGCGGGGAGTCTGCTTCTCCCTCTGACCCTCCCCCCTCTCTCTCTCTCATTCTCGCTCTCTCAAATAAATAAATAAATCTTTAAAAAAATAAAATAAATAAAATAAAAATCCATAAGTAGGGTTGTGAGGTATCTTAAATAAATAAAAGCAAAACATTTATTTGTATAATCATGGAAATTTGCATGCCAATCCAAATTTAGAATTATAAACTCAGTTAAAGTTGTTAGTCCTGGGAAGGACCTGAACTGCTCTATTCTTTTATATTTTTGAATATTCTTTTGCTTGGTGACCTGTTCATATTTTAATATGATTGCCTTTTAGGTGAAGGAGACCTTCAGATGAGGCTTCAGCATACCAACATTTAAAATGAATGGATGGTTGTATTTCTCAAACCTGCAAATTTGGTAGTTCCTTGTGACTTTCTATTTGAACTAGTCGGGATTGCTAAACATGAAAATTGACAAATGGAACTCTAGCTCGTTTATAATGTCACCAACTCTAGATTATTATTCCTTATACAAAGGGAGAACTGTTGAGAGGAACTGGATTTGCTGCTCTCTGACAAGCAGCAGGGCAGTGTGTAAGCGTGTTGCAGTTATGGAAGCCGAAGGAGGCCTGCAGCGGGCCGTGTGCTGGGCACCTCGCCCGCATCGTTCTGTCATCACAGCAGCCCCTCGGGAGGCCCCGTATAGTTTGTGGGTGTCGGAGCCCTGGTTTCACAGCTAGGAGACGGCAGGGGTAGGCCTCAGAACCAGGTCACTGTGTGTTTGCTGTGTTCTAGATGTTGAGTCCTGGGTTTGCTCTTTCCTGTTGTGTAAGCAAGCCTTCTCCTGTCCTTGATTGAGCACTTTGTCTTGTTTTCACAAGTGTTGTGTCGGGTTTAACTTAACTGCTTTGTCATCATGTCACCAGAAATAGTGTTAAATAGTGCATGGCTTCACATAGTTGGAAATAAAGTGGATCATTGTGTGAAGGGAATCTGTTACTTTGGAGTGGCGTCATTCCGCGGGAAGGTGAAGCTCTTTGGCCTGTGTCCCGCAGTGGGGCGTGTGTTCACTCAACAGCCATTGTGCTGGATGCTGCTTAGAGCCCTGGGACTACATAGTGCCCAGCATAGGAAGAGCATTGTTACTCCATTTTTCTAGACCGCGTCCTTCTCGGGAATGCTGCTGCACTGCGGGATCCTGACTCTGACCGAGCTGTTGATCGTCATCTGTGCCAAGGACAGCTGCAGGCATCTTGAGTTAAGCAGGTGGAAGTGGCAGCAGAAAGTGAAGTGGTTGATGGTGGTAGGGAAAGGTCAGGAGGGTCTGGATCTGAAATGTGCGAGGATTTTAATCTAAAATGGGACCAAAGGAAATGAAATGGAGAATCTCATGCACTCGCTTTCAGAAAAATAAGACGGAGACTGATTTCCCACAAATCCTTATTTCCAGAAGATCAGAACTTACTTTACAATTAGTGAGCACCTGCCAAGAATCTCTCCTTCTTATCTTTGAGCCAGTGGACTCACTGGGTGACATTTTGACTGGATTTTTCCCTTTTGTACTCTTCCCACAAAGTAGTTCTGTAGCTCACTCTGTAGCTCACTGCAGTTTGCGTGTCCCAAATCACAGCTCCTCTGCTATTCCCACAGAAACTCAAGGTCTGGTAACTCGACCTTGCCTCAGTTTACCTCTTTTCTTTTTAGGTTGACATTACATGGTGTCAGGAGCGGGATCTGAAGGAGCCAGCCACTGAGGAGTGACGACCCCCAGAATCGAGCAAGGTACCCACATCTGAGCCCTTTGTGCTCTTCGCTTCCGCGAGTCACCATAACTTTCAGTTTGGTAAGTCTCTCCGTTATCTAGCTCTCCCTTTTTTTGGTTGAACCCTCAGGCTTTATTCAAGATTTGTCAGCCCTCTTTTGTTCTTAATCTGATAATGGGATCCCAGTCATCTAAATGTTCTAAGGGTGTCCCCCTTTCAGGAACCCTGACCAGTTTTATGTTAAAAAATGATGGTCCTCCCTCATGCCTGTTTTTACCTATGTGGATCAGTCTTACTAAGAAGGGTAACTGAGGGCCTTGATGGCCATTTTGGGGAACCTTTAGTCTTTTGAGACTTCTCTTTCTCCCAACTAAGTTAGAAGACCATGGCTACAGAATTAAACAGTCCAAGTAGGATAGTTATTTTCATTGGTATCTGGAGGTTTCTAAACGTGTTCAGGATTCTAAAATTGCCTCCTTACAAAATATTGTTTCCAAACTGACTGAAGCAAATAAATAATTAAAGATGGATAAAAATAAAGTGTCAGAGGCCTCTTTCTTGGCGCTAGTCAAGGTTCCCTCTTACCCTCACTTCCCCACCTCCTTCCATATCCCTCGTGGCCTCCGTACCCCTCCCCTCTATCTGAGCTTCCTTTCACTGAAACCTCATCAACTTTAACCCATTAAAATCTTTCCTTTCAAAATTAGATCTTCTGAGGATGCTGCTAAACCACCCCAAAGTGCCTACACCCCATGGACAAAAGTTGAGTTTAGGGCTGTAATTAAGTACCTCCCCAAGGTAACTGAGGGTCTTCGTAGATGGGTGGAGGAATTTAATATTGTAACCCTGATTTACCAGCCTGGTCTCCAATCTCTGTCAGTTAGTCGCCGTGGTTGTTGGAGAAGGTCAGGCCCAGCACTGGATGAAAATAATCTCTGGGGTTTAAACTAGACCAGCCACCAGCCCTTTTGTATGACCACGGTGGCAGCATGGCCAAAAGCCTGCATGAAGTCATCCCAAGGGCTTTCCCCAAGCCCATGGACTAGAATAAGATTCAGGCACTCACCCAAAAGCCTGCTGAATCTGTCTGTGACTGTTATATGACTGTCCATGACTCTAAGTTGTTTTCAAGGAAAATTCCAGGCTTCCCGTAGATGTTGAGTCCACCCCGGTGGGGTTTGATTCTGTGGTTGTAAATGGGACTAAAAACCGTTTCAGAGTAACCTATATGGGACGGCATTGAGCCTCCCACAGATGGAGACCACAGAACAGGTGTGTCCTACGGGGCCATTATTGCAGACAGTCTGCCCACTGGAAGAAGGCTCACTATAAATTGAAGTCCAAGCAGTTGCAACCCCCTAAGAGGCAATGGCTAAACCCACCCCAGTGATGGGACCCCGAGGGCACACGGACATTATTCCCCAGCCTTGTGGGAGGGGAATTATTTAGGATGGGGAGACTGCTCTCCAGATTGGGGATGAATTTTCTCAGTTTCACTTAACGCAGGAACTATTCTATTGGTGCTCTACCCCAAATTGTCCCTTCTTTGGAGTAGTACATACGTGCAGATAGAGGGGGTCTCTGATAAACTACAACATGTCCCTGTTTCTCAGCCCATATCCTTTTATCTGGGACCTTTGCAAGACTACCAACCATTTCTCCTCAGCGATTTGGCTCACATACATTTAATCTAGGATGAGATTTCCCAGGGAAATACATTGCATTTTTTTTCTTTCCCAAAGGGAAAATATTCCTTGATTTCAAATCCAATACTCAGGAACATTCAAGCCCATTTATTGGACTCTGCAGACCAAAGAAGACCAAACTTTGGACTCATCCCCACTATTAACCCTAGTACCCCCACTCTTTGGGCAAAATCCTCAACAGACTGAGGCAGAATTCATAGTGCCCCTCCTATTAATATCCAGATTGATCCCTCAGAACCTCTCCCAAGAATAAATCAGTACCCTGTAAATAATAAGAGGACTTATCAGGACATAAGGCCTGTCCTAGAAGATGATAAGGACTCTTATCCTTTGTAGTAGTCCTTGAAATATCCCTATTTTACCCATAAAAATTCCCATGCCCAAGGATGGAGATTGGTCCGGCATGTTAAGGCAGTGAACACTGTAATTCCTCCACCCTTTTGTCTCTAATCCGTACACACTATTGGTATCCAGCCCTACTGGAGGTGTTTTTTGTTGTTGTTGTTTTTTACTGTAGTTAATTTATGCAGTGCATTTTTTTTTTAAAGATTTATTTATTTATTTTGAGAGAGCGAGAATGAGAGAGAGAGAGAGTACATGAGTGGGGGAGGGTCAGAGGGAGAAGCAGGCTCCTCGCTGAGCAGGGAGCCCGACGCGGGACTCGACCCCGGGACTCCAGGATCATGACCTGAGCCGAAGGCAGCCGCCCAACCAACTGAGCCACGCAGGCGCCCCGCAGTGCATTTTTTTAGTATTCCTTTTGATAGCAGTGTATATAAAAATACAATAGCCCTTTTGCCTTTACCTGGGAAGGATGAGAATACACACAGATAGTCATGCCTCAAGGCTTTACTGAGAGTTCTTTCTTCACATAGGTTATAGCAGCTGACTTAAATAACATAGGCTTCTTTAGAGGTTTCATCTTACTACAGATATATAGATGATTTCCTTCTTTGCTTGCCTTCCAAAAGGCTGCTCTCAGAAAGACCTTGTTCAACACAAGGTCTTAAACAAAAAAATCGCTATTTGTTCAAACCTCTGGTCCAAGATTTAGGACAATTTAATCTCAGAACAGGGACTGCTCCTAGATGCTGAAAGACTGCAAGGCATTTTAAACTTTCTGTACCTCAAAATCAAATGTGAATTACAGGGTTTTCTTGGGCTGGGTCACAGTTGGATTCCAAACCTCTTAATGGCTGAGCCCCTTTGTGCCATACAAAAGAACACCAAACCGGATCCCATTGTTTGGAATGACCAATATAACTTCTCCTTTAAGACTTTGAAGGAAGGTAGTAAGTCCACCTGCCCTTAGACACCCAGATTATCAGCTGCCCTTTTCTTTTTTGTAGATGAGAAGGAAGGGAATGCCCTCAGACTACTTATCCCAAAACATGGGGCTATCACAGACCCCTAGGTTATTCTGGCCAACAGTTAGATCCACTGCCTGAGGATACATCCCCTGCCTTAGGGCTCTGCCTGCCAGCACCCTTAGTGAAAGCTACTGAAGAGATAGGGGATCTTCCTCAACCCTCTTGATGCGTCAAGGCTTTAGAGGCTCTCTTGGGTCACACCACGCCCAGTACCTTTCAACAAGCTGTTTCCTCCTGCCAAGTCCTCTTACTGACCCCCCCCCCCCCCATCACTCTCATTCACTGTAACAGTCTCAACCCTGCTGCCTTCTTCCCTCTTCCACTGATGGAACTCCCCATGACTATCTGACTTTCACAGATCAACTGTTAACCTCTTGTGAGGTCTTACAAGAAACCCCTCTGACACACACTGATCATTCCTGGTGGACAGACTCTTAGAACTGTGGAAGTGGTGAGTTCGTGCTGGGTATGTGATAACAGTTTGGAGGTTATGGAGGCTGGACCCTTACCTTTGGCTGCTTCAGCTCAAACCAGCTGAAATAGATGCCCTCACTTGAGCGTGCCTTTTAGCCAAAAGCAAGACCACAAACATTGATACTGATTGCCAGTATGCCTTTGGAGTGGCCCATGACTTTGGAATGTTAGGGGAAACAGCAGGGCTTCCTCCCTTCCAGTGGAGGTGAAAGTAAGATGGCTCCTATGCCCCAAATCTGTTGGATGCCAGGATGCCACCAGCAGCTCTAACTGTTGTGAGTCTGATTCAGTGGAAACCAAAGGAATCTACCTCGCGGATGCCCCTGTAAGAAATGCTGCCCTTAGGAGATCCGTTGACCAAACCTCTGTCGTGGCCCAGAAGACTCCTCCCCCGGCGAGGACCTATGGGGCTAACCAGGGAAGGGCAGCAGCTGGCCTGTGCAAGAGAAAAGCAGAGTTGGAAATCAGAAGGCTGTTGGGACCACAAAGAACAGGGACTCTGCTTTGGACCTAGTAATAAGCTGGTCCTTCCAGAAAATCTAAAGCTTTCCTTATTGACCACTATGCCTGAATTAAACCATTGGTCCCCTGAGAAATGATAACATTTATGGATCAGTGTTGGTGGAAAACAGCAAGGCCACAAAAATTGCTGTCCTGCTTGTTCACCTGAGCTGAGCTGGCCCCGGGACACTGGCATTTACCCAGTGGACCGTTTGAGGCCTGGCCGATGAATTTCAGACATTTGCCTCATCTCACGGATAGAAAGATGTTCTAGTGATAATTTGCATCTTTTCACATTGGACTGGAGTGTTTCCGTGTAGAAAGGTTACCGCCTCTTCCTTAGCTAAAGTCCTTTGAGCAAAGGCTTTTCCCACTTGGGGAGTACCGCGGTGACCAGGGGACCCACTCCACTGGCCAGTGAGTCCTTGGACGAGTGAGTGTGTGCCATCTGACCAGTTCTGCAGCATTTCCACTCTTTATCCTCAGACTTCAGGACTGGGCCAATGTTCAAAGAGAATTATAAAGATCTAGTTTATTAAATTAGTTGAAACCCTCCAATACCTTGGCCAAAAAGTACTGCGGTTGGTTCTTTTAAATCTTTAATCTACTCCATTCAGTATTCATAAACTCTCACCTTTTGAAATAATTACAGGGCAGCTAATTACAGGGCAGGCATTTAGCTCCTGCTTCCTTTGACCCACAACTGAAAAACTGGTACATACTTGAGTATTGCAAGGGTCTAATTAAATCCACTGAGAATAATCACGCTGTGGTAGGGTAGAACAATCTTTCCACACCAAGAGACAAAAGACGTCAGACATCACACTTTACAGCCAGGAGAGTTAATCTGCTGGAAGAGACATCTCCATAAAGATTCACTCCAGCCTTGTTGAAAGGGCGCCTACCAGGTGTTACTGAGGAACCCCGGTGCCATCAGGTTCCCAGAGACAGACTCCTGGATTCATGGGTGCCATCTAAAAAGGCCCCAAAACCTGAGAGGACCTGCACCCCAACTGGTAGCGTAAAGCTAAAATTTTTTTTTTTTTTTAAGATTTTATTTATTTATTTGAGGGAGAGAATGAGAGACAACACGAGAGGGAAGAGTGTCAGAGGGAGAAGCAGACCCCCTGCCGAGCAGGGAGCCCGATGTGGGACTTGATCCCGGGACTCCAGGATCATGACCTGAGCCGAAGGCAGTCGCCCAACCGACTGAGCCACCCAGGCGTCCAAGCTAAAAATTTTTAAGGACTGAAATACATGACATTGGAAGTAGACAGTCTTCCCAAGATACTGGGGCCAGGCCTGTAGAACCTCCCCCTTCACGGAATTTGGTGTTGCTCAGCAACCGAGTCATGCTGTCTAAAGTTGTAATTGTCCCTTTGCTGGCCTCCTTGCCACTCCTTGGTTTGCCGGTAATGCACTCCTTTGTTCCCACTCTGCAAACACTTTTTGATTCCGCCAGCCCTACCCATTGTTGGATTTGCACTGGAGTTAACACTAAAGCCCCAACTGGTGGCCTGGCCATTATCCTTAGAAGGATGGCAGAAGCTTTCTAGCAGAGAGAACAGGGCTTTCCTCTGGTGCCTTTGAAGCCGTACATAGTCCCTGGCACCAGACATGAAAGCCTTCCGTTGGGTGCTCCTCACCCATAAAGGAATACCCTCACTCAAGTCTGTGCATCTACTCAAGACCTTTCTCTGTGTTTCACAGACAGTGACAGGACCGGCAGAAGCCGAGGCTGCCTCCTGGTAAGCACTTGTGACCCCAGTGGTGCAGGACTCATGATCACGAGTACACTCCCCACTGGGGTCTGCGAGACCACGAGGTCTCCTCTGTTGATGTATCTCCGTGATAGGGTACTGGGAGGAGGGAGCGACGTGCTTCCTTTCAGTGATGCCTCTGGGGAATTGCTCAGAAATCTAGCGAATACTGGAAACTTAATTCAACATACCTTCTCCTTGGACGATCCCCAGATCTCCATTGGAACCTCACCCACAGCCACCAGACTCATTTGTTAATCCAAATATATTGAAATTTAAGACATTCCTATAACCACTTCCATGATGCTAAAAGCACCAGTTACTGCATATTGTGTGTAAATGACTGTTTGTTTGTTTGTTTGTTTGTTTGTTTTTTATTAACATATAATGTATTATTTGTTTCAGGGTAAATGACTGTTTTTGAACATGAGGTCCTCTTTTTCATTCCAGGGGAAAAAAATCTGGGCAAAGGGGTCTACCTAACATCCTGTCTTTAGAAAACACTAGTTATTTCTATGTGGCAGAAACGTACACTCCACATTCCCCTTGGAAAGGATGCTGTGAAGTTGTTGCCCTCATTCCTGTTGCTGAAACCAGGAAAACCCTTCTACCTACTGCCCCTGTGTCCAGTCTGGGGTTTTCTCCTACTGTCCTAAAATAGCACATGGTAACAGGGATGGATAGCACTTTGGGTGGATGTCGCGAATACCCCATAGTAGATAGGGATTTGCCTGAGCCTTGTTCCCTTCTTGGGTTGGGTCGCAGAACCTGTAAAGGCAACTTGGAATCTGTGGTCGTGGTCCCATCTTTACTGCTCCTCTTAGAGCTTTTGAATATCAACAAGCCCAGCTAGACAGTCGCAGTAGTAGTCTTCAAAACCTCAGTCCTGCGCCTTCGCCCTACAGAGCAGGGAGGGGAAGAATGCTGTTTTTATGTTAACAAATTGGGGGAAATAATGCAAGAATGAAAAATAACAAAAGGTAATATCAAACTGTGAGCTGAAATAAGCCAGGCCCCCCAGGACCTGGGACATTTTCAGCTTATTAAATATGGGCAGCTGGGGAAACTGGTCGAGGAGGTTTTCCAGCCAGTAGCCGTTAATTGGACTTTTGGCCCTGGGTATGATCCTCCCAGACATATGTACAAACTAGAGTTCTTTTCCGCACCAAGACTTCTCCTGAAGCTCAGCTGGGAGACACATGACTGAGATTCCCCATTTCTTGACTGTTGGTTGTTCAAATGGGGCCTGATACCCTCATGCCATTTCCCTCCTGTAAGGGACAGACATCTCAGGACGTCCCTGCAGTTAGTTCTCAGGGGCACCATCCACTCACAGCTACAGACATCTCTGACTAAACCAGACAGCCAGACAGATTGGTTGATCAACGTGGCCTTCTGTGAAAGATGTGGATCAGAGGGGGAGATCTGAGAGCATTTGAATCTAAAATGGAACTGAAGGCTATGTAAAGTGGAGAATCTCACGCATGCGCCATCAAAACAGCGGACTTGAGGACTGTCAGGCCGATTTCCCATGAACGCTTGATTGACAGAAGATGGAAGCTGTCTCCAGCCAGTGAGTGTCCACCGAGAATCTCTTCCCACCTTTGAGCCATTGAACTTGCCGCGTGGCTCCTACCTGGATTTTCCCCTTTCATACTCTGCCCAGAAAAGCACCCCACCCTGAACCTTCAGCGGACTCACCTGTAGCTCCTGAATTACACTTCTTGTGCTCTTCCCAAGTCAGCTCTGTTTCCGGTCATCAAGCTTGCCTCAGTCTGTCTCCTTTCTCGTAGCTTGACAGAAACCCAAGTCCACATCATAGGCAGATGACCTTGGGTCAGGCGTTTTGCCTTGACCAGCCCCTGTGTCCTCTCCCATACGCTGGGGACGTTGCCTCCCTGGCAGAGTTGGTGTTGGGTGGAAGATGTGGGAGAGTGCCTGTCACACGGAGCCCTTGCTAGTCAAGAAGGTGTTAGACTCAGGTGTGTGGCTTGATTGGGTGTTATCGATGAGGAGGGAAACCGGAGCCTGTCCACTGAACTGGCCGTGTCGGCGGCTTCTGAAGAGCAGGCTGTCGCCAGCAGCTGGCGTGCATGTGGCCGACGCAAGGCGCTATCTGACGTGTCTGTCACCGGCGCAGGCACATCAGAGTTGGCGTCACGGCGCAGCGGGTATCCGTCCGTACTCTGTAACCCGGAAACCCCGCTGTGGCGATCCTCCTCTTGCTGTGTGAGTAAGGAACTGGGGGCTGGGCCACCACACAAACAAAGATGTTCGCGTGGACATCAGCAAAGGTGTGCTGTCGGGAAAGCCATCAGGACTCCACAGCTGGTGACTGGGAGGTTCGGACGTCAGCTCTTAGGCTGTTGCCATCAGATGTTATTGTGAAGTCTTCCCTGCCTTGTAAGTCCCATCAGTGTGGGGGAGAGCAGAAGGGAAGCGTGGGAATACTGCGGCTGCGGCCGCCCGCAGCGGAGCGGGAGCTGGGAGTCAGTGTTGGGGTGGACAGCTAGAAAGGCTCGGGGTTCAGGTTTCTCTGTGGAGGGACTTGGGACTCAGCAGCAGATGGTGGGGGCCATTGATGATTTTCTAGAGCCCTCACTGACCGGGCGTGTGAGGTGGAGGGTGGCCACAGCCGCTTGAGCGTTCGTTACCTTGTTTATCTCCCTCTGGGCTTCATCTGCAAGAACAGAGTCACCAAAGAAAAGCGCAGTTGAGTTAAATACAAAACAATTGCAGATTATAAATTCCAGTTGGAGCTATTTTTCTTAAATATAGAGGTTTTGTTGTTTTGTTTCACCCTGAAGCATTGTGATGGAGGGGTTTGAGCTTTGCTCAGAATAAAGAATAAAACATTGACAAGTTGTCGGCCTGGGATAGCTCTCGAGAAGAGGCTGTGATGTGTGTTTACTACGTCTGAGATGAAGGAGCATCACTACCTCTGTTCAGCTATGCATTTAGTCACGGTTTTGAAATTTCACTAATATCAAGTTCTTTTTAAGGAGTAAATGTCCTAGAACCTAGCTTTAATGTTTATAGGTAGAAAATCACCTAATTTGGAGATAATTCTTTGTCGTGTCTTGTAAAAGCAGGGTTGTACTGAGTGTTCACATCATGTTTTTGCACAAGCATTACCATCTTCAGTGTGTTGGTAATAGAACATACAAAACCAGTAACGTTTAAAAATTCTCCTGGGGCTCCTGGGTGGTTCACTTGGTTAAGTGTCCGACTCTTGGTCTCAGCTTAGGTCTTGATCTTGGGGTCATGAGTTCAAGCCCTGCCTTGAGCTCCACGCTGAGTGTGGAGCCTACTTAAAATACTAGGGGCGTCTGGGTGGTTCAGTTGGTAGGGCATCTGCCTTTGGCTCATGTCATGATTTCAGGGTACTGGGATTGAGTCCCATGTCGGGCTCCTTGCTCAGCAGGGAGCCTGCTTCTCCCTCTGCCTGACACTCCTGCTTGTGCTCTCTCAGTCTCTGTCAAGTAAGTAAATCTTTAAATAAATAAATAAATATGAAAATAAGAATAAAGTAAAAATGTTTCTTTGACTTAGAGTGTGAAGACAATACAAGCAATAGTAAATGCTTTGAATAGTTCTAAAATAATTGGCTTAGTAGCACAGACATGTCCCTGTTGCTGAAGCTTATTAGAGAGAGAAAGCAAATTAGAATTGATTAATCTTACTCTCAACTCTGGTCATTTTAGCACCAAAAAGAGTTTTTGGGTTTTTTGTTTGTTTGTTTTTTTAGTGAGTAAAATGTGCGTGCACTAAAATGCATAGATCCTAAGTAAGATTTGATGAATTTGACATATGTATCCAAGAAACCAACAGCGCGTTCAAGATCTAAAACATTTCCATCACCCCAGAAAGTTCCCTCTTGCTCCTCCTGGTAGACCCTCATCCCCCATAGACAGCCACTGACTGCTACAAGCACCCTAGAATGTTTTTTGTGAATATTTAGCGATGTTAATTGTTACAACTCTCTTAATTTGTAGGAGATCAAAACATTCAGATGGCAGATAACAGGTAAGCCAAAATGGACTTTGTTCATTGGGATTTAAGTTTTAGTTGATTAGCATGAGCCAGGCCACTGGTCAGTGACTGTTCATTAGCAGCTCTGGTTGGCAAGCTCCTCCCTCCGCTGCTGTGTTTGAGCCCAGGAGGAGATGGCTTCACACATGGCAAGTGTCTCAAATACCGATACTGAAAAACCTCTCGTGGGAAGTGATCATGCTGCTCTCCAGGTCTTAATACCTCCCAGGTATTAAGTGATTGACTTGGCACCATCCTCCCCTTGTGTGGCTTCCGATGGTCAAGTGAAAGATTTTGTTTTGTGGCTCGTCCTGAAGGTTATGTTTGGTCTTGTGTAGTGTTTGACGTGGTTTAATTTTGGTGAAGGAAGCCATGTCCAGGCATCTTTGAAAACTGATATACCTGTTTTTGTGAAGTTTAATTGTTTGTAGAGACTGTGTGGTGAGCTTACAGAGCCACAGTGGGCCTTGTGTCCTAAATACTTGGTAAGGTGGCACTGCCTTGATCCCTTTAGCAGCCGGCCAAAGTGTAGCATGCAAGTTGGCTGGCTAGTGGGTTCAGTTTGAGGGTGGGGAGCAGGTTTTTGGGGGGGAAGAAACTGTAGAAATGAAAACTAAGAAGATTTGGCCAGGGTTGGAAATTAGAACTATGGGACATGGCAAGGGGTGGGGGTGTGTTAAGTGGTAGGTGGTGTTTTTTTGTATTTGTTTTTTTTTTAATAACAGGAACATATCTCGTAGATACACCCGTGTGTCCATAGTTCTGTCCAAATACGAAGTCGTTATAGAGCTGCCTCTTAATATGTTACACAAGAAAAATGCCCTTGTGCTCTTTGTCTTTAGAACTTCTTGGTAGTAATACTTACTTAACATACTGTCTTAGTTTTTCAGATGGTGTTCCTTCAGACGCCTTGGAGGCTGCTAAAAATGCAAGTAACACAGGTCAGTTCACCACCCATGGGAGAGTTCGCATGCAGAGCGGAGCATAGCATCTTCCACTCTTGAGCCATTTCTTGCGATGATACAAGTCATGCAAGTGAAGGATTACTGTGCCACAAAGGTTTGGGGAGGTTAGAGTCATTCAAGTGGAAATTGGTACTTGGTCTAAAGACTTTCATGATAGGCTTTCCAGAAGTAGGGTGACTAGCACAATGCGCCTCCTTGTGCCCGCTGCCACTCAGTACTCCATGGCTCAGCCAGTGACTGGTCTTCTTAGTCTGTGTCCTTCTTCCCTGATCATTATGGAGCAAACCCCAGACTCCATACCATTTTGTCCATCAGTTCATAGATGTGTTATTTTTTCCTCCATTTTTAAATTTGTATATCTATACTTTTTTCCCCTTAAACTGTTTGAAAGCAAGTTGTGGGTATCCTGACTCTCTTCTCCTAAAACAGTTTCGTGTAAATTTCCTAAAAACTAGAATGACTGCTCCTAACCCCAGTGCCGTGACCACAACCAAGAAATGCGGCGTTGACATGACACTTAGCTAGTATGTAGTCATGTTGCTATTTCCTTGCTGTTCTCGGCTGCTCCTTTTAGCCGTAGCCCACATCCAGTTCCAGAGCCAGCCAGGGTGATGTCCCGAATCTAGTTCTGTCTCCTTTCTTCTAGAGCCGTTCTCCCACCTTTTTATTCTTCTCTGCAATGATATATCGGCAGGCTGCTCCCTGGCTGTCTTGTAGAACAAGCAGGCCACGCTCTGGATTGGTCAGGTTGTTTCCTTCCCATTAGATTCAGACTGCCACATGGGTGACGTGCTGCAGGGGGAGCACGCTGGGGCCATGGCCGGGGATTCTGAGATTGAGGACTTGGTGAAGGTCATGTCTGGCAGCCTTCCCCGTTGTGAGGGTCTCTTCAGTAAGTGACCTGTTGGTCATCCTGTGGACACCCTGTTCTCCATGGGTCGTGATAACGATCCTTGCAGAATCAGGTATGACATTGGTGTTTGCACAAGGGCGTTTTTCTAAGTCTGGCAGTCTTCTGCATATTACATCTGTCAGAGATGGCCTTTCCCTCCCTGCTCTCCCAGCCCCCACTGCAGGGTTCGTGCACTTTCCTAGATTGTTACTCCTTCAGTGTTTTGTCAGGCACCATCAGTACTCTTTGGTGTGCAAATTGTCCCACGTGGCCAGTGCCAGTCTCTTCAGGCTGGCTTCTGTGACCTTTTGCTATGTCCCCATGAGCTTTGAGCACTTTGTAGCTTTGTGATGCTAAGCTACATTTTTTCTTGAACTTTTCTTGCTCTGGACCTGGAGTCTACCATCTCTGCAAAGGGCCCTGTTCCTTTTAGTAGGGGGAGATATTTAAAAACCAGAATATAGATGCTAGGTGTCACTGTTTCTAGGCCTTTCGGTGGCCAGAGCTAGAGGAGGTGTGTGTCTGTGTGTGGGGTAGTATTTATACATATTGTGTACATACACAGTTGTACGTATGCATGAGTGTAAAGATGAAATAGTGTTAGCAGTTGTTTATAGTTAAAATGTTAAAATTGAGTTGCCTACTTGATACCCTTTGCTTGCCCTTGTGACTTTCGTACAAAAAGGTGGGCAGGGCTCCAGGTACCTTTGGAGTCAGGTGAGGGTGCCAAATTAGGGTTCCTGGCCAGTGGGAGCGAGCTGGCGTCACTTCAGCAAACACGGAGTCTGTGCCGTGGGCAGGTGTCCTGTTGGACCACTCCCTGGTTATAGTTGAGTGAAAGACCTTCCTTCCTCCTCAGCCTCTTGTTCGTTCATTGGGAAACAGTGCAGATGTGTGTGAGCCACCAGGGCAGTGTGGGGGGAGGAGGCCAGTGAGCTTTGGGAGGGGGGAGTGCGGGAGTGCGGTGGGGGGGGGGGGGTTGGGCAGAAGGGCAGGGTAGGTGAAGGTGGAGGCCAGAACGCTCGCATGTCTGGTGCACCAGGAGCCAGTGCTTGGGCTTCCTGGGACGTGAGCCAGGCCGCAAGTGAGGGACAGTCGCCTTGTCCCTGTTCTTGCCTTCTGGGCCCCCTTAGGTCTTGGGGAGAGAAGGTGAGGTGGCAGGAGATAGGCCCCTGAACTGGGAGGTGATGACATCTTTGGGAGGTTTGAGGCTTAAACAGCTGAAGCAAGAACCGGAACTTGCTGGGTGCCCTTCAGTGGATTTCTGACCGCCTGCCCAGCTGGGTAGCAGCGGGTCAAATGCCATGAACGTACATTTGAAGGGGTGCTTGGGTGGCTTAGTCGGTTAAGTGTCCGACTCTTTTTTTTTTTTTTTTTTTAAAGATTTTATTTATTTGAGAGCGAGAATGAGAGACCGCATGAGAGGGAGGAGGGTCAGAGGGAGAAGCAGACTCCCTGCCAAGCAGGGAGCCCGATGGGGGACTCGATCCCGGGACTCCAGGATCATGACCTGAGCTGAAGGCAGTTGCTTAACCAACTGAGCCACCCAGGCGCCCAAGTGTCTGACTCTTGATTTTGGCTCAGGTCTTGATCTCAGGGTCCTGTGATCGAGCCCCGTGTCAGGCTCTGTGCTTGGCGGGGAGTCTGCTTGAGATTCTCTCTTCCTCTTCCTCTGCCCACCCCCCCATCTAAAAAAATGAAATAAATTTCAAGTTTTTTGGGTTTTTTTAAAGATTTTATTTATTTATTTGACAGATAGTGAGAGCAGGAACATAAGCAGGGGGAGTGGGAGAGGGAGAAGCAGGCTTCCCGCTGAGCAGGGAGCCCGACGTGGGGCTCGATCCCAGGACCCTGGGATCACGACCTTAGCCGAAGGCAGACGCTTAACGACTGAGCCACCCAGCGCCCTAAATTTCAAGTATTTTTAAAACATGTTCTTAAGAAGCCACTTGCTACATTTAGAAATTAAAGTGAATTAACATAGCTGGGTAGATAATGTGCTGATGGTTTTCTACCCTTGGCTGTTCTGTGTCAGGGATATTTGAAATGTTTTGACCTTGTTTTTACCTCTTGATAGAAAAGCTCACTGATCAGGTGATGCAGAATCCTCAAGTTTTGGCAGCTTTACAGGAACGGCTTGACAATGTCTCCCACACTCCTTCAAGTTACATTGAGACGTAAGTATGCTGTGCATGGGACTCTGTACAACTTTAAGAAACAAAGGGGAAAAGGCTGATTTCCTGGTTCCTTAGACTAGAACTAAGTGTCTTTCTCATTGAGCAGACTTTGGGTGCTGAGAACCAGGCACTGGATTCCAAAGAGTAGCGCCTAGGCTCAGCAGGTGGTAGAGGTGCAGGCCTGTGGTGGGAGGTGCGGCGGGGGGGGCGGGGGGTTACTTAGCCGGGGGGCTGTCGGGCCAGGCTCAGGGTGGGGTGCTGGCTCCCTGCTGGCTCTCTGCAGGTGGACTGGTGATTCTGCCTGGGAGTAGGAGAGTGGAAGATGATAATGGTCTCTAGTTTTCTGGCTAGACTCTGAGTAAGTGGGGTGGGTTTCATGGAGAGGGAATGCTGGGGCTAGGAACAAGGCTTCATGGAATAGAATCAGTTCCATGTTGGATGTACTACATGGTAAGTGCCTGCTGGCAGGACAGTGTGGAGTTACTGTAACTGATTGGAGGAGGACAGCTGGATGTAGGATATCAGGGTCCAGTTTGCTTAAAATCATTTGTTATTTTTACTCTATTAGGAAGATACAGAAAGATAAAAGACAGTTGTAATTGTGTGATTAATGCAGAAAAGAAATACAGGTGTTTCTGTATGTCTGCCATTTTATTAGGTCCTCACTGTGCTTCCTCCTTGTTCTCCTGCCGGCAGTAGTCCTAGAGACAGGACTGTAGTTACGAGTCTTGGTAGAGGACCTTTACCATGAGGTGGCTATGGGTAGGGTGGCAGGGGTCCTTTGTGATTTAAGGCTCTATTTAAGGCTCTTCCAGTACTTTCTAAACCGTGCTGTGCATAGGAGCAGCTAGGACTCCATGAGTTGTTGGAGGAAGGGTAGAGTGCCCAGGCTACTGCTAGCCCCACCTCGAGGGCTCAGCCCAGGTGGACGCTGCCCGGGAGGGCTGTATGGGTCTGTGATGAGGCCCAGAAATGTGCTCTTTGTTCCAGATGGTGACCAAGGGCTTCAGGTTAAACATACAATTTTGATGGGTTAAAAAGGGTTTTTTTTTTTCTGATTTATAAAAGTAATGCTTAAAAACTAAAATATTTTTAGAATATAGAAAAGTACTGGGGTGCCTGGGTTGATCGTCCAACTCTTGATTTCAGCTCAGGTCATGATCTTAGGGTTGTGGGATTGAGCCCCGTGTCAGGCTCTGTGCTCAGCACGGAGTCTGCTTGTCCTTCTCCCTCTGCTCCTCCCTCACTCGCTCGCTCTCTCTATAAAATAAATAAAATCCTTAGAAAAATAGAAGAATATAGAGAAGTATCAAAAGGCAAAGAAGCTCAAAGTCACCTGACCCTGGAAGGGAACAGACCCCACTTGTCTGTATTGTGTCTGATTTTTCCCTTAGTGCATCACCATGAACCTTTCACTTGGCGCGGAATATTCTTTGAAAACATGATTTCGGACAGGCTGTGTTTTAATCCTGTACAACTTGTCATTATTTCCAGTTTTCCATTTTCACAAATAATGCCTCAGTGGACATATTGGCACATAAGTATTTGGTTATTTCCTTAGCATAAGTTCTTAGAAGTAGAGTTACTGGACCCAAGGAACATTCAGGTTCTGCTTTGCCTTTAAGGTGGATGAGTCGGTTAGAGGACTTCTGTGCCCTCGGGCTCATCAAACCCAGGAGGTTCTTTTTAATTGCCAGTTTGGTAAGGAACAGACAGCAGTTCTTTTAAATTATAAATATTTTGTGGGATTGATCCTTCTTTCCATGTTTGATTATTTGTATTTTTTCTTTTGTGGATTATCCGTCAGCGTCTCCCCCACCCCTTCTGTTGGGATGTTCATCCTTCTAATGATGTTTAGGAGCTCATTTCTGTAGTGAGGATGTGAATTCTATAGTAGCCTGAATTTATTTTAAGAGGATTGAAAAGCACGCTGCCTTACTTTGCAGGCATACGGATGTTCTCCTTTTCTTCCCTGTTTCAGTTTGCCGAAAGCCGTGAAGAGAAGGATCAATGCACTGAAGCAGCTGCAGGTGAGGTGCGCCCACATAGAAGCCAAGTTCTACGAGGAGGTCCACGACCTGGAGAGGAAGTACGCCGCACTGTACCAGCCCCTCTTCGACAAGGTGGGCAGCTCCCTCCATGTTGCCTGCATGGTTTCAGAGCTTTCTTCATGTAAGACTCCCACATTTACGGAGTGATGGGTCCTTGAACGGGTCTCCTTCAAGCCCTAAAATGTAGAATCTTAAGTTAGAAAAGCATTGGTTTTCACAGACATTATTTACAAACTCAACTCTTGAGCTTCTGACTAACTTAGCCTAACTCTAAGAAGGTCTCGTTCTTACTCAGAGAAGGGAGTTCATCACGGGGGACGTGGAGCCGACGGACGCGGAGTCAGAGTGGCACAGTGACAACGAGGAGGAGGATAAATTGGCTGTGAGTATCGTGTTCAAACGAAGGCAACTTGTGCTGTTTCAGTGCTGTTAGAAGTAAGAAGTCTCTTAAAACGTCACAAAGGAAAGAGCTCCTTACCAGTAGGTGCTGTTTCCCCCTTGGGTTGGCCGTTTCGATTTCTTTGTGATCAGACTACTGAGCGGCGGGCAGGTCCAGTATCCGTTAATTCCGTGACCCAGACATGCTCTCCCGGCTCAGTGGTCTAAACAGGTCCATGCCGTAGGATAGTGAGGTGTGGGATCGGATGAACAGAAACAAAAACATCCGGAGAAGTCTTGTATCGAGACAAAAGCGAAGTCCCACGGGGGAGGGGATACCTGTGTTGGTAGTTGCTGCGAGGTCAGGCTTGTGAGGAGGGCGTGGTGGGTGTCCGGGCCACCCTCCTCCAGGACCAGCAGTGGCGACGAAATCGCCACGATGCACCCAGCCACTTTGGATTGGGAGCTTCTCATCACCTGCTCACAGCCTTCAACAGGTCCCATTCCAGCGCCACGAAAGTTCCGACATGTTACAGGGCAACTTTGTCCACTTGAAGTTTGTTTGGAAGACAAGTAGCTTTTACCTTTTTTATCCATCGGGATTCCTTTTTAGGGAATTTTTGAAGTGTATGTTCGTTGTAGTAACCATATGTTTTTGATCTTTCAAACATATTGTGGAACCTGGCCTAGCTGAGGCTGTGGTTATGGATGGATCTAGTTGTGAATCACTTCCTTATTTCTCATGAACAGTCTGCCTCTGTTAATTTAAAAAGCCCCTTCTGATCATTTCCATAAGAATCCCCCATGATGAAGTGTTTGCACTTGCACTGGGCCCATCTCGTGCTCGACCTCCGTGGGCCGCAGTGCAGGAAGGACGCCTCTGCGTGTGGCCTGCGCTGTCGGGTCACCTCCCTGATGTCTGCGTGCAGTTTCTGTCCGATGTTTATAGCCCCCTCCTTACAGTTGGACGTACACGCTGCCGTCGTTCTTGTTGCCCGGGCACTGGAGTCTCCGTCCGGTGCTGGGTGGCTGGCTGGCCCAAGACGGATGTCTCATAGAGCTAGCACTTGGCACCTTCCCCAAGGTTGATGGCACTCTTCTAAAATTATATCACAGAGTCACGTCTGAACGGAGTGCTTTGATTGCTTTGTTCCTTAAAAACATTTAGAAGTGTTACATACACCGTGGTCTTGGAGATGCAGATGCAGGGAACACAGTTTTTGATAGAAGTTTGTGCAGGATTCTGAAACTGGCATTTTGCGTTAAGTCACTGAATGTAAATGTGTTGCTTTGTGGTACATGTTCTATTTGGCATCTTTATTTATTTTTTTTTAGGGAGACATGAAAAATAAAGTAGTCCTAACAGAAAAAGAAGCAGCAACAGGAGAGGAGCCAAACCCCAGAGGAATTCCAGAGTTCTGGTTTACCATCTTTAGAAATGTAGATATGCTAAGTGAATTAGTCCAGGTAAGCAAATTCCCACCCTACAGAGAGATCTTAGTCTTAATATTTATTTATGAACCACTTAACTCAGAGTTTAGCGGTTGTTCATGGTGGTTGGAAAGGCACTTTGTGTGACCAACAGCTCATAGGAGTGTTCTTGACCTCCTGGGCGTGGGTCTCACTGTTGGAAGCCTCCATTGCTACCTTCTACCACGGTGCTGCTGGGAAGGCCTGCACCTCTGCGGCTGAGCCACGACTTGTCGTCGTCTTACCTGAGGTCTGCCGCCTCACCCCGGAGAGCCTATAAACAGACTCAAGACCCTTCCCCACCTTACTGTGAATGGACAAGCGGGAAGATGTGAGGGCAGGAGACCAGGAAATTGGCCAAGAAGGCCCATAACTGACCGAGGTGTTTCTTCTGGTTCTCTCTTCAGAGATGTGAGGACCAGCAGGCCTGGTCGGTCCCTGTATGCCGTGGCAGGCAGTCTTGGGAAAAGAGTCGGGCTCTTGCCCACTCTGCCTGGCCTTGATGTTTCTCAGCGCTCCGGGCCAGAGAGAAGTGTCACCTTGTTGCCGGCCCCTAAGACCGCTTGTCAGTGTACAGATGTGGGTGGCTTCCTGGGAGTTCTTAACTTGACGAGGCCAGAATGCCAGCAGGACTGCTTAGCCAGCATCTGGGAGTGTGTGCAATAGCAAGTCATAGGGGGAGTGTGTGTTGTCTGGAGAAACGCCCACTAGAAATTTCTTTTTTTCTCTTGTTGATCAGGAGTATGATGAGCCGATCTTGAAGCACCTGCAGGATATTAAAGTGAAGTTTTCAGACCCTGGGCAGCCTATGGTGAGTACTGATTCATTGAGCTCCTGGTTGGCATCAGAGCATCACTGATGGTGAGCGGCTTGGGGCCAGGGCAGGAGGTGCGAACCTGGCCACACACTTGCAGGGTGGTCCTGAGCGAGATGCTCACCGAGAACTAGAATGTTCTCATGCGGCCTTCCTGGGTCTTGCTCAGCAGCGCTGCACAGCCCGGCAAGCAGCCCAGGCCGTGGGCTGCGTGTGGCAGGTGCAGGAGTCCATGCAGCACTGGACTCCTTGGCTGTGGTCTTGGCCACACCGTGCGCCACTCTCCGAGCCGGCTTGTTCCATGTCCGAGGGGGTGATGTCTTTCTCCTAAGTGTCTCCCAGGTTTCTGAGGACCTAACGTCTGTAAAACAGGATGGTAGGTATGTACTCAAATACAAGCAGCACTTTAATAGAAACCTGAGATGCTAATGAACAAAGCTTGCTGGGTTTTACTGAAAACGTAACTGCAGGTGGGCGAACCTGAACAACGTGTCCCCGCACTGTCGTACAACACCTCTTCCCAGCAGCTTGCTGCGCTGCGAGAGGGGCCTGACTCAAGCCAGCCCCTCCTTCCCTCCGCCCTGTGGGAGCTGGGTCCTCATGGAGGCACTGTTCGTGGCCTCTTAGCCTGGCAGTGGCTGACAGGCTCCATTCCGGTGCCACAGCAGCTCCAGCGACTCATGACTGACTGACTTGTGGCTCTCAGTTTCAGGTCCTGGGGACATGGCCTGGGACCTGGGGTCCGGCTCTTCCTCCCTCCCCATCGCAGAGCACTGGCCCCAGGTTATGGATGAGGGCTAGCGTACGTGGGGTCTCCCTCCCTGGTCCTGCAGGTGCCTTCTGGAGGCAAGGGGCAGGGGGACACGCTGGATCTGTCCCTTCCACTTTTCCTGCCTAGCTCACTCTGGGAGGTGATATTCAGTTCTCCCTCTGCAGGCAGGGGCCTGGGCACGAGCTGGCGTGATGCCTGCTCACAGGCTGAGGGGAATCCCTTTGCCTACTGGACCGGGTTAATTGGGTTATTGCAGGGCCTTTTCCTTGGCCTGTGCGGAGGCTGGGCCCTGGTGCCCCCTGGAGGCCGAGTGGCGCAGTCTCAGGGTGTTTGCTTGCGTGGCCGGGGGGGGGGGGGGGGGGGGGGGAGGTGCATGCTGTTGTAAGTTTCTGTGTCAGTTTTTTCCTAACACTTCTTTCTCACCTGTGATTCATCCAGACTCCATTTATTAATTTTTCCCCCCTGGATCAATTCTTTTTTTCATCGTTTGCTCTTATGAGACACTTGTTTGGTGATTTTTCTGGGTCTGTTTCCTTTCTCAGCCTGTCTGACGTTTTCCACAGTGGTTTGTAGACAGACAAGAGCCCTAGTTCTGGTAGAGCATGAGCCAGTCGTCCTTCTCCCCCTCGTCACTTCCCCTGTTAGAAAAGTCATGCACGCCGGCTGTGGAACGCTGGGAAAATACAGGAAGGTGTTAGGAACAGCCTACAGATCTCTCAGCTCTGGAGTCAGGTTCCCCATAGTCTTTGTTTTTTTAAAGTCATTATGAAATATTTTAGACACTAAAATCAGAAATACAAACCCTGTCTAGCCTCAGAATGAAGCAGGGCCAGTGTGTGTGTTTCTCCCGTGACCACACGTCTGCTCCTCTCCAGGGTCCCTCGCTCACCCTGCCGCAGAGCGGGGTTATAGGTGCAGACAATGTTGTACCGGCTCTGCGGCTGGGAAATAGTTGTCCTTGCGTCTGTGGGCTGAAAAGTGATTTATTTAACGGTGCCTACACGTGCCGCGGCCACCTCCGCCCCATTCTAAATTGTTGCATTATGAGAGCATACTTGAACCCAAATCTTTAAGTCTTGGCCAATTTCCTCAGTTTTGATTCCTTTTAGTGCAGTTTTACTGGGTGAAAGGAGGTGAACATTTATAAGGTTCAAATGTGGTTCACTTACATATTTTTTTTTACACTTTCTTTTTTGTAAATCATCGTGGTTTTGTCTCTGTTTTGAAATAATTTCAGGCTTAGTGCAGAACTTGAGCAACAGTGCAGAGACCCCGTGTGCCGTCGGCCCAGGCTGGAGCTCCCGGGGCGGGGCGGGGCGGGCGCAGCCGGCGGCGGCAGCATGTGAACCGCGCTGGGCAGGAGCGGCGTCTGCTCACACCCCCGTGCGGGCTCCGCTGCGTGCTTATGGCTGACTGGCTGTAGGGGGTTGTGTGTGATGGAGGCGACCGCATCTGTGGGCCCTTTTCTGTCGGACTTGAACCCTCCTTGTCTCTCTCTCTCTCTCTTTCTCTTTTATAAAGATTTTATTACAGAGAGTGAGCAGGAGCGGGGGGGTGGGGCAGAGAGAGAAGCAGGCTCCCCCCGGAGCAGGGAGCCCGATGCAGGACTGGATCCCAGGACCCCGGAATCATGACCCAAGGCAGACGCTTAACGACTAAGCCATCGAGGCGCCCCTTGAACCCTTTCTTGATTCATCCCCAGTCGTGTGTTACAGTAGACTAAACAGAGGCCATGGGGAAGGAAAGGACAGGAAAACATGAAGAAGGGAGATCTCACACTTGGTCTGGAGAGCTGGTAGGGCGGGAGGTGGGAGATAAAGAAGAGGAGCAGTGTGATGCGTACCAGAGTACAGAGTGAGGCAGGGCCCCGGTGATGCTTGTGAGCCCTCCCTGGCCCCCAGGGTGCCTGTCCACGCCTGCGGTCGCAGCCTGCAGCGTTTCTGGGATCATAGCAGCCTCTTCACCGACTGAACACTTGCGTCTGTCTTCCTCTGTCTTCACGGTGGGTGGGTGTAGCCCTGGGGGTTGGGCAAGGAGCGGAGAGGGGGTTGCATGGGGTCCTGTTGCTGAGCTTGCAGGGGACTCAAGCTCTGCAGGGTCCGGTTTCCACTTCTCCCTTAGTGGAAGTAGTTTGGTTTTAGTCTTTTTAATCTACTTTTTCCCAGTTGATAATTGTATCCTTATACATTATAATGAAAATTGAAATAGCTAACATTTAGCAGGCATTGCCTGTAAGCCTGTATAAACCCTGTACTAAGTGCTTCCATAGGTCAATCCTCTAGTCAGCTCAGGGAGAGAGAGAGGATTGTGCTTTCCATTTTATAGATGAGGAAACAACAGCAGAGACAGAGTGATTTGACAAGATCACGCAGCACCTATAGGCAGAAGTGATGTGGGGCGCCTGGGTGGCTCAGTTGGTTAAGCGACTGCCTTCGGCTCAGGTCATGATCCTGGAGTCCCTGGATCGAGTCCCGCATCGGGCTCCCTGCTCGGCAGGGAGTCTGCTTCTCCCTCTGACCCTCCCCCCTCTCATGTGCTCTCTCTCATTCTCTCTCTCTCAAATAAAAATAAATAAAATCTTTAAAAAAAAAAATAAAAAAAGAAGTGATGTGAACCCAGAGTTAGTCTTACAAAGTATCTCTATAACTTACTCAACCAACGCCCTCTTTTTTACCTTAAAATAGGGCTGAGGTGAGCATCTTCACACATACTGATGATGCATCACCCAGGTGTCTTTTCCCAAACAATGAATTCCTCAGAGTAGAGTTACCAGGCCAGAGAATTTTATTTTACTTCAATTTCTTGATCTTGCTAGATGGTCCTTTATAAAGCTATTTACAGTATATGAGTGGACGTGATTTCCCAGAGCACTTGCCAGTTCTACATATTATTCATACATAGGTAAGAAGAAAGCAAGACTCCTTCCTACTGCCACGTGACTTTATTTGTGTCTGCTGCTTTGTACACCCTGCGTCCATTTTTCCTCTTAAGCTTGTCTCTTGAGATTACACAGTGCTTTGTGAACAAAGGATGAACTTGTCCTTCCTTGGTGTGGTTTGCGGAGGCCCAGGCAGTCCTCCCCACCCTCACAGAGTCTGGCCCCTTTGTGCGGCAGAGAAGGCGGCGCTCTGCCTGAACGCAAGTGGAGAAGGAGGGCGGGCTGGAGCCCGCTGCGTGGTGTCCCCTAGTCCAGACCCTCCAGCTCCACCAGGGTGAGCCCGGGGCGGCAGAGAGAAGCTAGGGTTTCTCAGGAGAGCTTGGACCTCTACTGGGAGGGGGCTCAGAGGGTCCCGCGCTCTCCGCTAGGGCTGAAGCGCCACAGGTATTCCCCCACTTGTCGTTTGTGTTTGAACTGGGTGCTGCTGTTTTTTGTAATCAAGTTCTTCTTGACATGTGGCCATACCTGTTGAACTTTTCCGTAGCGGTTTCTGTCTGTGGCGTCCCGCTCAGAGAGGCGCTGGTCTCCAGTATGGACTGTGGGGTTCGTGAAGTCTGTCACTGGTTGCTTGTAGATTTTTAAGTGGCACTTACCTGAGTTTTTGTTTTCAGTCTTTTGTATTAGAGTTCCACTTTGAACCCAACGACTACTTTACCAATTCAGTCCTGACAAAAACATACAAGATGAAGTCAGAGCCTGATAAGGCTGATCCCTTTTCCTTCGAAGGTCCTGAAATAGTTGACTGTGACGGGTAAGGACTCGCCATTTCACCTTCTTTTTCTCAAAGAAAAACGGATGATTTTAGAACTTAATGAGTAAGAGAAATCAGGAATAAAACAAAATGTCTTTAATTTTTTAAAATCCCAGTAGACCAAGATTTACATTAAATAGTCTTTCTGTGGGGGTTTGTGATGGCCTGCCCTGGGAAATGTGTCATGAGGTCACATGTGCCAAAAGGGGGCTGGTGGCCCGGTCTCCTCATCAGATGGAGGGATTCAGTTCTCTAGGTCCCTTGCATGATGCTGTCCTTGCTGAGCTGATAAACGACCCTCCGCAAATATTTGCTGAGTGAACGGATGAATCAGGGCAGGGCAGTACTGGTCAGTTGCTTGCTTCGGAAATGGGGGGGCAGTTTAATTGTTGGACTCATGATGGAGCACCTTGGTGATTTCAAGTGAGATCACTGGGGAGAGAATGTGGTTTGGAGTTCTTTCCTCTTGGTTTGTTTGAGATGGTTTGGGAAATTGTGGTTTTTTTGGTTTGGGAAATTGTTTTTGAATTGGCACAATTACCCTTACTCACTGGAACCAAGTACTTCTGAATCTCGCGTATGAGCAATTCAGAGCTTTATTAAAACCCTGCTAGACTTGAATGGCGAGAGTGACTCTGAGAGCGCATTTCCCAGGGCCAGGCTGTCGTGTGGGAAGTGGGCCGGCCTTTCCAGGCATGTTCCCGAGCAGACGCTAGTCACGTGCTGCCAGGGGTTCCGTGTGGGTCCACAGCGATTGAAAGATGAGCAAGCACGCGGGGCTCGCCCCCAAGCCGGGCCCACTCGGCAGCCCAGACCCAGTGCGCCCCGCCCCCATCAGTACTTCATGCAGCGGTCCCCCGCTGCCTCTTCAACTTGTCCTGCTCGCTTAGCTGCCTTGAGAATTTGGGTGCGTGAGTGGGTGACTTCAGGTGTGCTCTGGGGTCTGGACGAAGGCAGCAGGTGACAAGCTCTTGAGCACTCTCTGGGCACCGTAGCCCAGCCTTGACTGGGCTTGGTCACAGCAAACATACTGGTGGGGGGGGTGGGGGGTGTTCCTCAGGGGAGAAGACCCTGGCTTCAGATGGTGCCGTGGCAGCCCGGGCCACTTGGCCTGTTCCCTTTCGCCGGCCGTCACATGGACTTCATAGGTGTGCAGTGTCGGCTGGCAGCCTGGTTTGCCTATGTTGTCCAAGTTCAGCCTCTGGCTGTGCCTTGTTTACCATGGACGTTCGTGGTGTTTCTCAGGGCATATGTCTGTGTGCGTGATGGCCGTCTGTCCCTGTAGGTGTGCTATCGACTGGAAGAAAGGGAAAAACGTTACAGTCAAAACAATCAAGAAGAAGCAGAAACATAAGGGCCGAGGCACAGTGAGAACAATTACCAAACAAGTTCCAAACGACTCGTTTTTCAACTTCTTCAGCCCGCTGAAAGGTAAGAGGGTTGTGTTGTGGACGTTGATTATGTACTACGCGAAGTCGCTTCATTACCCTGAGTCTGGTCTGGGTCCTCCGGCGAGAGTGGCCATTAAGGACACGGTTGCTGTGCCAGGAGCCGTGGTGCTGGTGCTCACGGGGTGCGGGGGTGGTAGGGGTGGTGGGTCCTCCTTGTAGCAGGGGGGGAAGGCTTGGTGGGCTCTCTGAGCTCCACGCTGAGAAAGCTGGAGTGATGCCAGGAGCGCCCCCAGCCGGCGCTTCCGTGCCTCACCGCTGGGGCCTGCTGGCGTCCCTGGGGCCGCCCGTCCTGCTGCAGGCCCCCTCTGTGGCTGGTCATACTCCTGTTACACCTGCGCAGCTTAGGGAGCATCCCCCACCCTCTCTTTCTCATAAATTCAGCTTTGTTTTGTTTTTCTCTGTGACTAGAACTCAAGGGGCTTGGGAGTTGATATAGTGTGACAACACAAGTAATTGGATTTCCAGTTTTGAAAGACTTAGCTTGAAAACTTCGGATCCCCCCCCCCCCAAGTCATAAAATAAAGACGGAAAGTTTGACCTCGTGGAGGGTGAGCAACAGGTTTTGAGAGTAAATACTGGCAAGTCTTTTTTTTTTCTTTTATTAAAGATATTTATTAGAGAGAGAGAGAACGAGAAGGGAGGAGAAGTAGAGGCAGAGGGAGAAGCAGGCTCCCCGCCAAGCAGGGAGCCCAATGTGGGGCTCGATCCCAGGACCCTGGGGTCATGACCTGAGCTGAAGGCAGATGCTTAACCGACTGAGCAACCCAGATGTCCCAAATACTGGCAAGTCTTAAAATTTTCTAAACTGGAGAGAATGCGGAGGCCAGGCCGGTTGGCATTGTTAGGATAGTGAGGATAAAACATTTTCTCTCTTATTTTCCATGAACACAGATTGAAATTTAGAACCGCCCGTCCCTGCCACAGGTAATTGGTGGGTGTGTGAGCTGTTCACCCTCGGCCACAGGGTGGCTCCACTCTCAAGTGTGAGCCTTGGACCAGGACTTTGTCTCTGAGCCGAGGGCCCTCGCTTCGCAAGCTCTGCCCTTCGGCCCCGTATCTTTCTGGAATTTGTCTTTGAGCCTAGAGGATGCAAATGTGTATTGGTCTGGGGTAACAATAGCCATAATGTAGTTGTTCAGTTTCCTTGTTTTAGAGAATTCCCTTTGGTGGTCACTTGCATGAATTCACTGTGAAGCAGAGGGCCTTTGGTTCCTAAATGCAGTGGCTTTGTTGGAAGGTTTCTTAAGATTGGATTTCAAGTCATTCAATAAAATCAAAGTGAAATTAAGTGGACTCAGAATTTGGGGGGGGGGTGACGTTTGGGGTTTTAAAACTGTGCTGTGATGGTTGTCCCACTCTAAAAATGTCCCAGAGGTCATTGAATTATACACTTCAGTTCTCTGGTAGATGAATTGCACGTAAACATAGGTCTTTTAAAGTAATCACACATAATATCAATTGATGAGCTCTGTAAACAAATAGAAAGTGACCGTGGGGCGGTGATGGGGCAGGCAAGGAAAAAATGTCAGAATTGAGGTAACATGTTTTGAAATGAAGGAAACATAAGCTGGCTGGTCCGGTGCCCTCCTTGTCCTTCAGTCTACAAAACGTCCCAAAGTCACATGAGCAAAGTCCCTGGCCAGAGTCCCCGGACCCAAATCTTAGCCCGTGGGGGGTGCTCACGTGCCAAGACTCGGGGACAGTGCCATAGGGGTGGTGTTGACATGTGGGTGCCCAGCCCATGGGGAACTGCAAGCTGGGAAAGGCCCCGAGAGGCAGGATGAGGCCAGCGCCATAAGCTTCCAGCTCCTGGCAAGACCGGGCCTTGGACAAGCATCTCTGAAGTCCGGGGTTTGAGTCACATGATCATTTGAGTGTCACTGGGCTTTGTTGAGTGGTTTTAAGTCCCTGTCTTTCCTGTCACCCTTGGTTCTGGGTCAGGCTCTAGTGCAGCAGCAGTCTTGGTAGCCGTGGGCGCGCGCGTGTGTGCGTGTGTGTCCCGCGTGCACACGTGTGTGGAGCTGCCCCTCGGCGAGCCGTGCGGTGCTCTGTGGTGGGCAGCGACCAGCGGCACCCTCCTGCCCACGGGGAATCTTTCCATCTGTGGGACAGACGCTTCAGCGCTGTGTCCTCGCCACGGGGACACACCGGTGTTGGCCCGCGGAGGTGCAGTGCTTCAGACACCAGGCCCAAGGATTTTCCTTTCCCTGCGGAATCGTGCAGGGTTGCAGGCACCGGTACTCGCTCCTGAAGGCGTGAGTGCACCGAGTGCCCACAGTCTGGGGCCCCTTGATGGGCCTTTCCACGTGTTGACACTGAATTAGGAAGAGCTTTTCCCCAGTTGGCGTTCCCAAGCAGGTCAGGCGGGGGCGGGCGGTCGGCACTGCGGGAGGCGCGGGGCTCCAGATGCGCCCTGGGCCACCTTCCCCGTCCTCGGAGCTGCCCGCGTGCGCTTGCAAAGGTTTTGGTTGTCAGCGTAACATGCATATGTTTTGTCTTTTTTTTTCCTAGCATCTGGGGATGGAGAATCACTGGTAAGCTTTGTGTTGTCATCCGATCTCTTGTGCTGTCACATTCTTTATCTTCAGAGTAGTGGCCTACCTTCTTTTCAGTCCCTCCTTCGTCCTCCCTGAGGCCCGGGGTGCACTGTGTTCACGACACCGTGGGGCGGGGCCAGAGTGCGTGGGCCCAGTGCACCCCGCCATCCCCAGCAGCGCTGGGTCCCCCAGAGCGAGGAGTGAGGTGCGGGTGGGGGGCATGGTGCTCGCCCATATCCACGAGTTAACGTTGAGGTTTTCCCTTCTCAGGACGAAGACTCGGAATTCACATTAGCCTCTGACTTTGAAATTGGACACTTCTTTCGTGAGCGGATAGTCCCGCGGGCCGTGCTCTACTTCACAGGGGAGGCCATAGAGGATGATGACAACGTATGTGGGCGGGAGCCCTTGGGGGCCTGCCTTTGGCAGTATGGGGTGCCCTGAGCAGCAGCCTGGGGGGGGACCCTTGGTGTCGGGGGTTCGGGGCCGAGCAGGGCTCTGGGTGCTCTTAGAGCAGAGTGCCAGCCCCGTCCAGGGACAGACAGCATCCTTGAAAGGCCCCAGGTGCTCACCCTGTCCTGCTTAAGGTCTGCAAGCTTTGGGTGACTTGGAAGCATGAGGAAAAAATCTCCTTTTCAGAGGTCTGACCACAGCAAAAGGTTATCTACAGAGCGGACTCTCGCTAGCCTGTGGTGTGCCGACACCAAAGGCTTGATCCCCGTGGTGCACAGAGGGGTGGCCAGGCTGCGCAGGCCCCTTTCTGTCTCTCCCCCGCCTCCCTCCCTGCTTGAGCGCAACCTCGCTAGCTGTCCTTTGACAGTCACCTGAGGTGGTTCTCCATCATAACCCAGGCTTGGCTCACTGTGTCTTCTTGATTTGTGGGGATCAAGTTTTGTTCTATAGCGTGCAGTTAGTAGTATGTTTCAGATACTTATTCCCTTGCTTTTAGAGCTCTTAGGTTTCCTGGATGGCTCTAGGTTTCCTTTCTAAGTGGTCTGTCGAGGTTTCAGATGGGCCGCAGGAGCCGGGCAGGTTTGAGCTGCTCAGTGGCCAGCGCAGTGAATGCCTGCTTCTCACGTTTTCTGTGCTGATGATCCCAGCCAGGGGGCACGTCCCGTCCAGTGTGTGTGAGCTGTGTAGTCTGAGACTCGTTCGCTTCGGAAAGGCCGTTCGTCTGTCCCTGGGCCGGGAGGTGGTTGTGGGCAGGAGAACGTGCAGGCACACAAGTCAGCGTAGCGTTGGCTCGTCCAAGCACTCAGGTGAGTGCTGAGGCTGAAGTTGACACGGCAAACTGTATACCAGCACGGTCTGTGATGGTAGGGCTGTCTTCGGCCTGCCTGCTCTGTCCAGCGTGGTGGGACTGGCCCCACGTGAGGTTCGAAGATGTAGAAGGAATCTGTTGACAGCTGAGGAACTGCGTGGTTCCGTTTTATTTAATGTAGCCCCCAAAATCTAGTGACTACACACACTGGAAAGTGCATGTCTGGACCAGCGGTCTCCACACTTTTTTGATCATACGCCCATCGGTTTTAAAACGTGATTGTGCAGTTTATATATATTTATTTACTTAAAATACAGGCAGAGTGGATAGTACTGGGAGCGGTGCAGTGCTCTGCGTGTCCTCTGCGCGTCCTCTGCGTATGTATGTCTGCGCCCAACACCTCTGATGCAGGTGCTGCTGCCCAGCGGTGTCGTTGAGGGGTTAGGAAGGGGCACCCCACTTAGGCCTGCTGAGACCAGGGTCCTGACTTCACCACTCACGGCCGTAGTGACTCTCATGGCTTGTCGGGCTCTTCGAAGAACACCTGTTGGCACCATTACTTGGTGCGCGTTGGGAGAGAGGTAAATTTGCAGGGGCCTGATGCGTTGGAAACCTGCACAAGCGCTACACGTTGTTGCAGAAGGAAATGGAGCCGGGAGTGCTGATTCTGTCTTCCATGTTCTCCCAGCTCGGCTTGCGTGTCCCACGGGCTCTGTACCCCGACTTAGCGACCCTGCTCTCCATCAGTGTGAGATGTGTTTGCCACAGGACCCTCCAGGTCCAGAGTGAAATGACCTGAGAACCTCAGAAAATCCACGCTTGAGCCTGTTTGAGGCTAGTTCAGTCTGAGCTAAAATGTGATTGGCTGGCTACAAGACAAGGTTTGCCTAGGTCTTTCCCTGTCAGAGGCTGGAAAGGGCACTGGGGCATGCTTGCACCCCTGACGGCCCAGCTGGTGCAAGAGGGCGCGCGTGCTGGGCCTGGTGTCTGAACTGGGCCCCACCAGCCCCCAGACCCTTACCGGTTTTGTGTGAGCTGTCACCAAGGAATAGATGTGTGGGCTCCAACAAAAGAAATGTCTTAAGAAAAGCTTAGTAAATCTTTAGGTCTCTTGCGTCATGCAGGTGATAGTGATAAGGTTTGTTTTGTTTTGTTTTTTAAAGATTTTATTTATGTATTCATGAGAGACAGAGAGAGAGACAGAGGCAGAGGGAGAAGCAGGCTCCCCGCGGAGCAGGGAGCCCGATGCGGGACTCGATCCCAGGACCCTGGGATCAGGACCTGAGCCGAAGGCAGACGCTCAACCGACTGAGCCACCCAGGCGTCCCTGTTTTGTTTTGTGTTTGGTCTTGATCTGAGTCTGATATGTGGAGTTTGAGTGAGAGTCTGACCTGTGATGTCTTTGGACCTTGAAGAAATTCATTCAAGACCAACCGACTATGGTGTTGGGCTCTTTTTCTATACACTTAAACACCAAGGTTTTACCACATTTCGAATGTGTAAATATTTACCCTTGTATGAGTTAAAAAATACCATTGAAATTCATGTATCTGCATAGTAAAATCATGCTCCTGGATTACTTAGATCAGCCAGTTTCCCAGGTGATCCCAGTACGTTCTCATGCTGACCATCTCCTTTCTGCACCCTTCCCCATCCTCAGGCCTTGTTTTGTGTGGTTTGCAGGTACTCGGCATCCTATCAACACAGCGGGGCTCGTGAACAGGCGGCCTGCAGCGCTGGCCCCAGCCCGGCCCACAGTGTCGGGGCCGAGGAGCCTGGTGGCCGACCGTGGCCCCCCGCCCCCAGATGGGCCTCTGCCCAGAGGCCAGGCTGCACTTCCGCATTCCCTAGGCCTGACCGGTGTGGGGTGCTTGATGGGGACCGTGCCTGGGTCAGGCTGCCCTCCTGCTTTCGAGACCTAAATCTTGTTTCCTTTTTCCTTTTTCAGTTTGAAGAGGGTGAGGAAGGAGAAGAGGAGGTAAGACATGGCGAACGTGGAGAGTCCTTTCCCTGAGGCCTCGCTAGGCTTCCTCTGCTAGGGCGGACAGACCACCAGTCGTACCCGGTTTGTGTGGAGCTGCCTCAGGGCCTCCACCCTGTTGAAGCTGGGGAGGGGGGCAGGGCACAGCAGGTGCTGTCCCTGTGTCCCGTTGTTGACCCCGCGATTGGCTTATGAAAACGTGGCTTAGGAAACGTTGGTTGAACAAACAAATCGCGTTTTCAGCATTGTGTTTATGTCCGTTGTCACTGGAACAAAAAGGTGCCCACAAGTCAGTGTGCCTAGAAGGAGTGACTTAATCACTTACGGACAGTGATCGTTGGTTTCCCGCTAAAGCCGAGGGTGGCTTCGTTTGTGTGGAGCGGGTGGCTCCACAGGAGTTTAAATCCTGTGTGTTCAACTCGCTCTCACCCTTTTACGCAGGAGTTGGAAGGTGACGAGGAGGGAGAAGATGAGGACGATGCCGATATTAACCCCAAGGTCAGTCGTTGGGGGGCCGCCGCCCCCGTGAATGCCGGCTGCTGCGTCCCCGCCTGGCCGCGCCAGCCCTGCTCTAGTCCGAACACGGAAACAGACCGGGGGCAGGCTCGAGCGACCCCTCCTGTAGGATTTAGTGCTCAGTGTGTGGCCAGTGAAGGCTTTCCCAGCTCGCTCGTAAGCGCTCTCTTTCTGTAAGCTCGTTCAGGAGAGCAGCTTTCTTTTCCAGACCTTTAGTCCCTTCAGGGGAATGGTTGAATGACGACACGAATAAGCTGTTTCCTATGTTTATTTTTGGAAAAGGTATAAAGAAGTAAACTTGGGGGGTTATTTTTTTAATGAATAGAGTAATAAAACTATAGACATAGTTTTACAATTGCCTTTGGGCTGAGAATATTCAGAAGCTATGTCTAAGTATCTCCAATCATTGAAAGTAAATTAGGAAGCTTTAAGAAAACAAAAACTGAGGAGAATGGGCAACCCCATTAATTTTACCTGAAGGTCTGAATGTTTACTGATGGCAGGTCAGCTTAAATGAAGGCACTTTGTCACTTGACACATCCCTTAAATCCAGAGCTGCTTTAATGCAGTCCTCAGGCTGTAGTAGGCCATCCTCTTGTTAGCGAGCATGAAGTCTGTAGCTCACTGCGTCGTCCTGGGCTGTCAGAGCACTAACCTTCCCTGCCGTTTGTAACCTGGATCTCAGTTTAACTAGACAATGTTTGTCCGCCGTCCGTTTTTACCCTAAGTGGAATGTGCACTAAATGTGAGTGTAATAACCCAGCTCTGGTTTTTTTTTTTTAACGCCAAATGTTTCTGTAAATGCATGCTTTATATAAGTTCAGCTCCTTCTAGAGAAGGATGGGAGGTGGGTTTCAAACTTAAAATGTACCATATAAATACTACTTGGGACTAAGCTCACAGAAATGCTTACCTCTGCGCAGTCGGCCTGTCCAGCACGGGGGGCCTGTAGCGCAGGCATCCCTGTGCTTGGCTCCGTGACACGGGGGCCCTGGCTCAGGGGGCTCACGCTGGGCAGGTGGGGGCTGCTGACAGGCATATTCACGGTTTGGATTCTAGAGCAGGCTGAGGATGGTTTGCAGTGGGAGCTCCGTTACTCCGTCGCTTGTTGCTACCTTCTGTTGTTTGTCCTTTTCTGTTTTCCTGACACGTCTGTTTTCTGGAAGCGCGTTCTCTCACAAGTCGTCCGGCACCCTAGAGGGTTGTCAGGACTGGCGCTCCCTGGGTCTGTGTGTGCTGTTGGTTGGGGGAAGGTGGGGGATGATAGACGGGCCACTGGTGGGAGGCGCGAGGACTGCCAGCCCTGCGCAGCCAGAAGGGCCCGAGTCTTATCCTTCGGAGGGATTGGTCATGTCAGAGTCTGCACACAAGGAGGCACACGAGGGAGAAGGGATTTTTTGGTATCAAACGTACAGATGTGGTGGGTTGGGGTTGCTCATCTCAAGCTCAAGAATTTGTGGCCCTTTTTGTCATGAGAAAGTGGCTGTTTCCGCCTGTATAATTTTGTGCATTTTGTTTTCTTTTATGCTGACACTTCCTTTCAATTTTTTCCCCATTTAGGTGTAATTTTTGTCTGTTATTCATGCATTTTTAGGTAAGGTGGAATTCCATTCATTCCTAATCCAATCTTCTGATCTGTGATTTGTAACAGTGCCTTATTGTGACTTGGTGGATAGAGGGGAGGCTGCTGGGCAGGCACACTCCGCATGTGCGAGGCTGAGCACATGGCTTTCGGAAGAATAGTAGTTTCACACAGGTGTCCGTTGTGTGTACTTCTAAAACTGAGCATCAGAAACTACATTTGGCTCCTGCTTCCTGAGCCCAGGGTTTGTTGCTGACCAAGTCAAAGGCGTGACTGGTGTGGCATTTTTATTGGGGACAGGCCTGCCCTCCAGGAAGAGCACAGAGCGCGAGGGCCCTGGGAGGTGGGCACTGTGTGGTCTTCATGAAGACCGTGTTGTGGATCAGCCGCACCCCATGCAGTAGGAAGTAGCCGCTGTGCTCTTTCTTGACGTGTCTCTGTCGATTGTTTCTGCTGCTTAAAGTCAGGTGTGGTGCAGACCGGTAGGTCGTAAAGGCCTACCTGAACTTTGAATGTGCTGGAGTTAGTGCCCCAAAAGCTGCAGTGTCTGTGTGGTGTGGTTCTGGACGTTGTTGGGGTGCTCTGACCAGGTGGGGATAGAGCTGGGTGCTGCCCACCCGGCACCCCTGCCCCCCAAGTCGTGGGCCATTGCAACTCCGTTCCAGCGATCAGCTCCCTCCCTCGTGGGACACTGTCCTCCCGGGGGCCCAAGGGCCGTGGTGAGAAGATGCCACGGGAGGCAGGTGCCGTGATGTTCATCCCCGGGAAATGGCAGGGGGTCCCGGGGGCTGTGCTGGGCAGCCCCAGCTGGTGCGTAGAGCAGGGCCCGTGAAAGCTGGAGCCTGAGCTCACCGCCGCGGCCAGCGTGCTGGTGCTGATGGTCGTGCAGACCACAGGCGTGGGAGAGTCTCCACGTGGCCTTCCTGTCTCGCTCTTGCGGGCTCGCTCTCCTAGAGAACTGAGCGGTAGCACGGCTGCCTCCTGGCAAGGCAACGTCGTAACCAGGGGAGATGAACAGACACCATGGATCCTGGGTGTTTAAGGAGTCGGGGCTGATCTTTGACGTGCGTACACGACAGTGTGTTCGATTACTCTTGATGCCCGCTGCCCCACTTGTCTGAAGAATGTTCCCCGCAAGCCCCACTCTCCCACCCTGCTAGTCACGGGGAAGCATCCCTAACTTGTTCAGCCTGTCTTTCTAGGACAGGAGGACCCTCCTGTGGCGTAGCCACCATGAGCAGCATGGTACTGTAGCCCCTCAGTAGTGTCATCAGATCCTTGTCAGGGGCCCAGCCGCTCCAGTGCAGGGGTTCCCTCTGCGGTCATACAGGCCCTTGGGCCCCGGCTTTGTGCCCCTGGGAAGCTGTGGTGGCCCGCTGTGTGCTTGGTGGCTTGTTTTCCCCCCCCTTCTTGGGCAGTTGTTCTCTGTTAAAACTTGGCCTTTAAATGGCTCCATAACAGGCAGGATTTGGGCTGTTAGGTTGTGCCTTGGAAACACCCCACTCCTCTCCCGTGATACTCAGGGGTATTGAGTGACCAAGCTGCCATCAGACTTGGTGGCCTGAGACCAAGGATGCCAGGGCATAGTTGTAGTCCTGTTTTGGCCTGTGTCACAGGCTGAAAACCAGTGGTGTCTTATTGATAAAATTCACGTCAGAAGCTTCGGGGTTCTGTGTTGACTTAACAGCCTAGGACTTATGTCCATGCGGATGCTGTCCCCAGAGGTGGGGCCGCTTACCTGCCTGCCAGGAGCTCTCAGTGAGGTCCCGTTGCCTCCAGCAGGCTTTATCCCCCAGGCTACTGAATGTACTTTAAACAAATGGGTAATATGTTCTCCTGGTTAAAAATAAGCATATGAAATGATTCAGACAGCGTATTGTAAATCGTGTAATGCCTGATTTTACAAAATGCTGTATGTGTGTAACTCATCCGCATACAGAAGGGTATAGCAGGAGGAGTCCCGTCCTGTGCCGCCTGCCCCTGTTCCCACCACGTCACCCTACAGGACTTCCTTAGCTCCAGCTTCTCTAACCCACTTTCTTTTTGCAAATACAGTTGTGGAAACACACGAATTTCTCCCCCACCCTCAAAAAGCTGCCGGCTCCCCCCCCGCCCCCCTGCTGCCACGGCCACGCGGGCTGGGAGCTCCTCCCCGCCTTCCCCAGCCACTGCTGACAGCCGGTGGCTCCTTGCCTTGGCCACCAGCCTGAGCTGCCTCCAGATCCACAGTTTGATCTTGATCTTTTCCCGCCTGGATTTTTTATCAGGCGTGTTTTGTTTGGGGCCGTGGGTTCTTTAGCAGTATTTTAGATGAGCACGTGACACCAAGGTCAGGACCCCCCTCCCAGAGTGGCCCGCTGCTGGGCAGAGACCTGGGGGCTCCCGGCCGCGTCCCTGTGCTCTTTCCGTGAGACTTTCAAATGAAGAGCTTAGACCAGGGTCCAAGATCATGGTTTTGTCTTTAAGCGTCCTTAACACATAATTTTCTTTATATCTTCAATGTGATTTCCTAAAGAATGGAGTCCCAGCCTCAACCATAGAAGGTATCTGTTACATCATCCCCGATGTTTGAGGTTTTTTTAGACTCTGTAGGCTTGTCCCGATTGTATGAGACTGTAATCTGTAATCTTGGCAGCCAAGAATCAGGCCGCTAATTAGTAAATATTTGCCGGGAAAGATCCGTGGTCTGGTAGTGTCTCTCTCAGGCTGTTGCTGGCCTCCGCACAGAATGCATGGGGCTGCCGGATGTGCTCTAAGCGGTGTGAGCTGTGTTCGATTGCACTGAAGTGAACGGGCGCCTCTGTGGGGGGCGTGGCCTCTCCCTGCTACCTCTCGGGAAGGAGAGACTGCCCACTTGGGGCGGGGCCTGGGAGGCCAGGGCTGTGCGTGGAGCCGTTGGCCTGGCCTCCCCCGGCTGTGGGCTGCTGGTGCGTCCCGCGAGCAGGGAGCACTGCGGGGGGCTGGCCCGGGGCTGGCGGGGCTGCTCGGCCGCCTCTGGCCCGCCCTGCGGTGCCGCCTCTTCATTTCAGGTGTTGAGCCTGCCTTAGCGGTGGCAGGGCACAGAAAGGGGAGCCGGCTGCTGCGTCGCGTGGGCAGGGTTGGGGGGTTGCCCGAGGCTCCGAGGCTGCGGCGTAGCTTTGGAGCGCGGGCTCCCCTGACACGGATGAGGCTCGGTGACCCTGAGGCGCTCCTCCTTCCCGGTGCCTGGCCTGTGACTGACACTCCCGGGCCTGTCTCCGAACAAGAAAGGCAGCCCTACTGAGACTTTGTTTCTGGGAAGCTGAGTGACTTGTCGTTATTCTTGTAAAAGTACATTTGCAGTAACCATTTTTTCAGTAAGAAGGAAGGCACTAAATTGAGTCTTGGTTTGCATTGTTGGTTGGAGGTACCGGCTTGATGACATTGGTTCCCTACAAGTCCTGTCTTCTCTCGTTGACAGAAGGAGCCCAGCCAGCCGTCCGAGTGCAAACAGCAGTGAGGAGCGAGCACCCCGCAGCTGTGGCGTCGGGACTTGTGGCGGCCGCGCCACCGTATGGGCAGTGCTTGCTTCTAACTTGTTTTCGAGTGCATGATTTTGACTTTAACTTTTCCTTTATCCTTATTATTTTGCTTAACCTGTACAGTGGCAACTTAAATGCATTTCAGAAATAGCAGGTTTGATTCCAGCACCCTCTACGGCCTTGGGTGCAGCTCAGTGGACTTTCCCAGGCCCTGCCTTCAGGAGGGCCCCAAAGACCCCGGGGGGAGGGGGCGGCGGAAGGTCAGTCCATGCCAAGGGCAGATGTCTGGGGATGTGGTTCCGGGGCATCTAGAACCAGTCACACCCCTCCGCGGTCGGACTGGCTTCTTCCTTCACTTGAAGAAACCCACGCGCTTTGTGTCTCCCACCACCTGGTCTCCTGCGCTCTAACGGCCTCGGAAGGGCTGCGTAGAGTAGGGTCCTGTTCTCTTTAGAGCGTTCTTCTCTGGTTTTGTCTTCCTCAGGGGGGGGTAGGGGTTGTGGTGCACCCCAGCCCTGAGGCGTGAGTGTTTGTGGTTCATCTTTGTATTTATTTATTCTTTCCTGCTGGTGAGGGCTTGGGACGCATGCTGTCGCTTGTCCTCACACTTTCTGAAACCATGTGTGTGACCTGGTGACTTGCCAGGCGGGAGTGGTGGTGGCTCCCAAGGGAGTGAGGCCTGTGGAGAAGGAACCTCGCTCCGTCCTGCCCAGGGCTGAGGGCAGGAGCTCGTTTTCACGACATACCACCCGGCTTTGGGGGCGGGGGGCGGGGTTGCGGGCCGAGTGCCGGGGTTTGCCAGGCTTCCGTGGTGAGGGGCCAGGGCTGGGAAGCACTACTCTTCTTCTAGTGTGGACACGCCGAGTCTTGCTTTCTCAGTACCCCCATTTCTTGGCCCCGTGCTCATCTTGTCTTAAAAGCCCTGGGTTCAGAGCGACCTGTTCTTGGCTGGCGTGTGGGGTTTCCGAGTGTGTGACCGCAGTCTCTGGCAGCCGGGGATGCTGTGTCCACACTGTGTCCAGGCCTGTAGAGTGCTCAGCCTTACTTATAATACATTTGTAACTGAATACAGTGTTTTCAATTTGTACAGAATAGTTAGAATATTCTATTAAAGTTGTGAACCATGAACCCAGCTCTGTGCACAGTCTCTCTGTGGGAGGACCTGGTGGGAGGATCGGGGTGGGGGCGTTGGCACCTGCCCCCACCCGGCAGCTCTGGGCTGTGGTTGCGCGTCCTCTTGAACTGAATGTGCAGAGCCCTGCGGATGGGCAGGCCCGGGCTTCAGGCCTCTGCTTTTCCGTGTCAGCCGGTTCTTAGGAGGCGGCTACATTTAGTTGGCCCGTTAGGCCTGCAGACCCACTTCACTGTCGGGGTGGGCTTGGGGCCCCCGGTTGGGCCCTTTGCTACCTCAGGAAAGAGTCTGCTCTCCCCCAGGAGTGCACCATTTCTCAAGAGTTTGTGGGGCTGTACCTCCCAGGTCCAGAAGGTTCCAGGAGGGAAAATGCCTGCATAAAGGCCACTTTTCTGGTGGAACCTCCACTCCTTGCTAGGAGGGGAGCGCCCCCCCCCCCCCGACACCTGTTGCACAAGCCCTGTGCACGGTACCTGGCGGGGCTGGGTGGCTGTACAGGTACCAGGAGAAGGCAAGCACACAGCTGCTCCTCCCGCGGCCCAGCCGCCGGTGCCCAGCTCGCCGGGTGCCTGTCTGGGGGGCCTGGTTCTCCCTGGGAGTGGCCACGAGAAGGAGCAAGAAGTGCTGCACGAGGTTTAGGAATAGCCCTGCTTCCAGCGTGCCGCAGCCAACCAGAACCAGAATGTTCCCAGTTCTTGAAGTACCTGTGGGTGAGCCCCCCGTGGGCCTGGCCCCCCACCCGACAATCCTGTGGGTGCCGGGCCTGCCGTGTTCCTGCTGACACAGATCGAGAACCCCATCCCCGGAGGGCAGTCTGCAGAGATGACGGTGCGCGCTGGGAGCACCTCTCGAGGATGGGCCCCCGGACCTACAGCGCAGCTTTTCGTCGCTCTGGACCCAGACTGGTCAGGGCTCCCCAAGTTCTCCACGTGTCCTGTTTCCCTGGAGCGTCCGGAATGAAGCTGTTTATAAACCGTGCCATACAAGTAACTACAGGATGAGCAGTGATTGCACAAAATGATGGGCTTGGGTACTTCGCAGGAGGTTTGCAGGGACGGTTTCAACTCTGGGAGGCCCCATCCTGCGGGCCCAGGGGTCACTCCGAACATGATCTTTCCTCTCCCACCGGCTCCTCACCTCAGTGGGCGACGGCCCCGTGTTCACTGTGAAGCAACAGCAGCGCTCAGCCTGGAGGCTGCTGGGCCTCGCTGAAGAAACGCGAGGCACGTGAGAAGAGCCCCCTCCGAGGGGCACAGCGCCGGGTGGTGGGAGCCAAGGAGACGGGCGGGGGGCAGACTCCGTTAGAGCCCCCTCTGGCCGGCAGCTGCTAGGGCTTCACCAGAAGTCGGTGCGCATCACCTGGGCCGGGAGTCCACACCGTGCGTGTGAGCGGAGCACGTGGCCAGCATGTGCTGCGGCGGTTTGGGATGACAGGGTAGGGGGAGCCCGTGCCTTCCCTCGGAGACCGGCCGAGTCCGTGCCCGCCTGCCCATGGCGGACGTGGGGCAGCCAGGGACGGGTGTCCGTGTGCCTGTGGGGCGTGCCCGAGAGAGCAGTGCTTGGGAGCGGGTCACGGCCAGCCCCGTGTGGGTACGCACTTGGGCGTTTGCATGCACAGCGCTGCCTTTGGAGGCTGAGCTAAGTGGGAAGCTGGAGAGAGCAGCTGGGCACTTGGGGTCAGTGGGAGGGAGAATTGGGCGTTCTGCCTGTCGGCGGTGACACGCGTGGTGGAGTCAGCCCAAGGCGTGTTTTCTCGTCCGACCAGCACAGACGGACGGCGCGAGGGGTGTCTGGCTTGTGGCCGTCTCTGGAGGCCCTGGGTTTTATTTCCTGCAGGATTCTAAGAAGAGTGTGAGCAGACCCCCCCCCCCCAAAACACACACCCCACCGCCCCCCCGGGTGCGCTCTGTCGCAGGGCTGGGTCCCTGTGGCCTCCGGGGCCTCAGCCTGGTGCTTGGTGGTTGCATAGCAAGACTCCAGCTCACTGCCTCCTGGCCTGTCCGCGAAGGTGTCTTCTGACCTCAGCCCTGGGCAGTCACAGGACAAGGAAGGCGGCCCTCCACTGGCCAAGGGGCCGGGCACCCATGCTCCGTCTGGGCCTCTGCTGGCACCTGAGGTTCGTTCAGGCCTTGCTGCGTTCACCGGAAGGACACAGCCGCCAGGAGGCAGCGGGGAAGGGGGCACTTGCAGCAGCTCTGGCTGGTTGCTGGCTCTGCATGGGCCACGCCTCTGTCCCCACTGACCCCCTGAATTGCCTGGAGCCAGGCCTACCGGCCCCCCTCTCCTTTGGGTCCCCTTTTGGGCTGGGCCGTCACGATGCTTCTTTCAGAGGGTTCCGGTGAGCGTCCAGGGCCACCTCCTATCCCCCATGGCCTCTGCGGCCCGCACCCTCCCTTCCTCCTTGGACTGACCGTCCTACACAAGACTCTGCTCGCTCAGATTTGGGCGGAATCAGGTGGCTGCCTCTGGTGTACCTGCCTGTGCACCCTGACTTCTGGGGGTGGCTCGGCCCTGTCCCGGCCGAGTGCACGCCCACCGTGGAATGGTCCCAGCCTTGACGTGGTGAAGCCAGACACGACCCGCAGAGGGGACTGCTGGGGACAGCGGCTGCGGGGGGACCGGGGCAGCCCCGGGAGATAGGAGCTCTCGGAACTGCTTTACTTGGGAGTGTCTGGTTGTATGTGTGTAAACTGTCTCCATGAAGCTGCGTTTGCAGAGGGCCCCCAAATTGGGGTCAGTCCACCTAAAATTCTGGTTTTCCGCCAGGTAAGTTGGGAATTGTAGCCACCCAGGGCCAGGTCCACAGCTGTGGCAGGCGGCTCAGTGTGTCCACGTTCCCCCTCGTACGCAGCACCTGCCCCACCGTGGCGACCAGTCTGCTCTTGTGGGGCCAGGGCCAAGCAGAGCCCTGACCCACGGGCCAGTGGTCCCACTTCCCGTAGGTACCAGGCCGAGTCAGCCCTGTGCCTTGTGCTCCCAGAGGGCACCTGGGCCTGGGCGGGCTGCGCCAGGCGTTGCCCCAGCAGGGAGACCAGGCCAGGCTGGGGGGTGAAGCCCAGATCTCAGCCAGCCTGTCCTGGTGATAGTGCTGGCCTCTGACCCGCCCTCTGCTCAAACGGGTCTTCCCCGGCTCCTTCGCCCCGAGTGCCCGTGGGTGACAACACGAGGTGGGCTGTGGAGGAGGCCCGGGGCCGGCCGTGGGAGACGGGCCCTCTGGCCTTCAGCTGCACACCCTGAGAGGGGCTCCGCCGGAGAGCGCTGCCCCCGCGGGGGCCACGCGGCTCCCTGCCGGCCGGCCCAGCCTTCAGCCGCACCTGAACTTTGGTCGCTGCCTTCACGTTCTCGCAAGCAGAAGGACTTCCCATCTTCCTCCCTTTAGAGGCACAGCCACGTCGGGGGGTGGGGGGGCCTGAGGGACCCCAGACCCAGTCAGTGGGCCTCCCACCCACCAGGAGATGCTGACAGGCAGGAGCCCCCAGTGGCGGGACCCCTCCTCAACTGACCCTGGCTGAGCTTTCGGTTCTGTTGACTTTGGTGTGATCGTCCAGGCGCCTTGTCTGCCTGGGACCCTCCTCACAGCCTGGCAGGCTCTGATCCCGGCCGCCAGGAGGGTGAGACCCAGATACCTCCTTGAGGCCGAGTCACCTTGGTGCACCTGGGCGGAGCCCCTGTCCGCCCCCACGATATCCCTATGGTGCCATTCGCGGGGCCAGCCTGGCCCAGCTGACTCAGCTCAGTGAGGGTGGCGGCCGGATGTTACTTTCCCTGACAGCCTCGCAGGCCTGCCTCGCCCGGCCGGGCTTCTACAGGCCCTGGAGACATGGGGTGGACCCCCCCTCCGCCGACATCCTCCATGGGCTCCTTCTTTCCCCCTGGGCCAGGGGTTTCCAGAAGCCTGGGAATATCAATCAAGTCTGAAGCTCCTTGAGTCTCGGTTTCTGCTTCTGAACACGGGAAGAACCCTTCTTCCCAAAGCCTTCATCCAGGCAGGGCCGCCCACACGGGTCCTCCCCATTGCCTGCCAGCGTGGAGACAGCCTGGGATGGACTGTGCACTGTGGGGACAGGGAGGGCCCTGGGTCCCAAGCTGCCCCCATTTCTGGTGGGGGCTGGAAGATCCCAGCAGAGCTGTCGTCCCAGAGGGAGAGCCGAGCAGAGGAGGGCCAGCCCTGGGAGGACAGGGAGGAGCCGAAACAGGTCCGGAAGGTGCGGGGCTGGGGTTCACCATCAGGCTTCTGGCCTCCAGACCCGGGAGGGGATAGATGTGTGTTGTTCCAAGCCATCCAGTGTGTGGTCCTCTGTCAGGGCAGCCCCAGGACGCTCACGGAGGTGGCTGCCGGCGTCCAGGCTAGATGCTCAGAGTGGGGGGTGGCAGAAGGGGGGGGCAACGGACGGGGCCTGGAGGAGGAAGTGGTAGAGGGCGTGCTGTCGGAGTGGGGGGGCACTGAAGGGCACTGTTTTGAGCGTGAAACACTTGGGGTGGTCTGTGGGGGCCGCTCATGAGTGTGGGGCCAGGTGATGGCGGGGGCCGCTTCTAGAGAGCCCTGAGACTGCAGGGCCCACAGGCTGCTGGTGCAGTGGAAGCGGCGAGGGGTCCCCACCCAGAAGAGGGGCACCTCTGTCTCCCGCGGTTCCTCGACCACCCAGCCTCCAAGTCCACCTGTGCTGGGGGGCATTTCTGTCTGATTTCCAGACTTTTGTCCTCGCCTGGGGAAGGCCCGGTGGTGTGGAGAGCTATACATCCTTGCAAACCCAGCTCAAAAATCACCGGTGGTCTCCGGGAAGCCTTGACCTCACCAGCCAAAGCCAGCTTATGCCCCCACTCTGCTGGGCCGCCTCTGGCGACCAGACAGTGTGCCAGGCCGATGGGGCCGGCAGCAGACCTCTGGGGGGGGGGGGGGAGCTGGCGGCCGTGTTAGGAGCCCGGGGAGGTTGTAACAAAGGAACAAACTGGGGTTCTGAAGACCAGAAGTGCAAACCCAGGTACCCTTGGCCCC